AAGTGTTGAAAGAATGTAACACCGATATGGCAGTTATTCCGGGCGGAATGACACCATTAGTTCAGCCATTGGACGTCTGCTTGAACAAACAATTTAAAGCCAATTTAAAAAAACAGTGTAACACTTGTATGTTGGAGGGCGAGAAAACTTTTACGAAAGGAGGACATGAAAATATTTACCCCGACCTGCCCCAATTGAGGGCATACGGGTAAATGTTTATTAAAAACCAAGTAAAAAAAACATTAAAGAACATAAAATGCATAAAATACATAAGATACAAAAGTCAAATGGCAACAACACGTAAACTTTGCGGGCGAACAATACTCTTGAACAAAATTAGTTATCTACAATTAGTCGGAATATTAAATGTTTAAGAAAACTTGACAAATATATCTGGCATGTATGCCATGAAAAGTCCAGGTCAACAGACCCTAAAATAAGGATTAAAAGCACAATTAAATTTAAAACACCAGCAATATTAGAAGCAAATTAAAATATAAATTGCCATTCCAAGTCAACAGACCCTTATATTGAGGCAATCAAATGGCATAAAATTTAAAAACTAATCATAGGGCAAATTGCCTATTAAGGAAACAATTAAACGAGTTACAAATAGTAAAATCATCAAAATAGTGTTAAAATAGTAAAAGTGGATTAAAATGGTGTGAATGACGAGGGCAGTTCAAATCCAACCTAAGAACACCATGAGATTTAAAAAAATTTTTAAAGTCATTAAAAGTCCAGTTTTAAGGATAGTCATCCCGGCTAAAAATCAAAATCGCCGAACCAGAGTCTCCAGCGATGAGGTAATTAAAGCGAAAAAATTAGAGTTGACTTAGGGGATATGGAAACGCTGACCCATACGGTAGTTGGACGGCCAGAGTTAGTAAAAATTTACAGTGGGTTTAATGTATCTTCCAAAGTTGTTTTGATAATGTCTTTGATGATTGATCTGCAGGTCAGGTTAGAGTAAATCTGGTGTTCTGTTTTGTTGTGAAAATTGTTGCCTCGTCGTGTTTGAAATTTCGGACATTGAAAAATTAGGTGATGGATGTCTTGTTGTGAGTTGCAATAAGTACATGTTGAAGATTTCCCGAAAAATCTTGCTTGGTGTGTGCCAAACACGCCGTGGCCGGTTAAGAACTGATTAATATAAAAGTTTGCCTTTATTCTTGTAGTTTTTGGATCCTTAAAAAATTTGTAAGTCTGCCGTCCTTTTGTACTGTTGGTCCAGTCCAATTTCCACTGAGCCATAATATGGTTATTGATTATAGATTTGATCTGAATGGGGGTCAGCCAGGTAGTATTTTCTATGGTGTCAAGTCTGATGGCTTCTTTGGCTAGTTGGTCCGCCTCCTCATTGCCGGCATGCCCCGCGTGTGCTTTAATCCAATTTAGTGAGATACTCTGTCTCCAAGCATGTTTTATGTCATGAACAATCGTATTTTTATGTGTGGGGTCAGCCAGTGCGTGCAATGAGGAGAGTGAATCTGTATAAATTGTAGTTTGTTCTTCCTGTTTTGCTGCATAATTTATTGCTTGTCTGATCGCCATCAGCTCGGCCTCAAAAACTGAGCAATAATCGGATGCTCTGGAGGAGGTCTTGGCAATAGTGATGCCATTACACTTTATGATAACTCCGAAACCTGTCCTGAAGTGTTGAGGTTTGACCTCCATCCTGGAGCCATCCGTATATATTTCCAAACCATTATTATCTGGAGAGTTATATCCCCAAGGCACAGCGAGTTGAGTGGCAGGGTGAACTGGGGCTTTTGTAGTAAGGTTCGTTTTTTCCAAGATGGAATCAATAACTGTCCTTTGAATGACGGGAAGAATGTCATCTATTTTCCAGCCCCATTTAATGCGTTTGTTGAAGATTGTCTCAATAACCTTCAAATGAATAGGTTTAATGCCCGCCAGTATCTGGATAGATTCAGTGCTTGCTGTGGAATAGCACTTTGTGATTGTGAGAAGCGGTATTCTTTGTATGGATGCAAGTTTCTGATTCATTTTATTAGTATTTCTATACCAGACACTGGCGGCGTAGAGTATTATCTTCTCGCTGGCCTGGAGATATATCTTTTTGAGAATATATGGGCTTAACCCCCAGGTGGCTCTAGCGACCCTTTTTGACATTTTATTGAAGTTCGTGATTTTATCTTTAACCTCGTTGAGATGAGGAATCCATGTCAGCCCTGGGTCCAGTAACACACCAAGATATTTCAAACTGTTGACAATCTTCAGGTTTGTGGAGCTCTGATCCATTTTGATGCGCAGAGTTCGGGAAGTTTTCTTATTGTTTTTATTAAAGACAATAATTTTTGTTTTGTCCTGGCTAAATGTTAACTTGTGTGTTCTGGCCCAGGCTGACATTGCTGTGAGAACGTGGGTCGCTAGTTGATCAAATCTATATAATATGTTGTGTCTTAGAAGAATGAAGACGTCATCGTCATTCAAAAAATGCAGCATTTCAAATAATCTGAACGGATCAGAAGATGACTGTTTATTTATGGATGAGGGTAACACAGATGATGAAGACAAAACAGATTGTGATGTGTGATGACGTGCCTGAAGAAATAACGGAAGACAAATATAATGAACTATTTATGTAATAACGAAAATCAATAAAGTATATAGGTAAGGGTATGTTATTTCTTTAAAATAAAAGTATTTTTCTATATTAAAATTTTTTTAATCTATAATTTTTCATATTTGGCGTATACCGCGCACCCATAAATTCCAATGTTATTTTTGGTATCGAAAGTGCGCGATATATGCCGGAATGTACGGTAAATACCCATTTTTTTTAAAAAAGCGATGTGAAGATATTATGATTTGAGAAAAAGGCAATTGGCAAAAATTCAACAAATTATTAAAACCAAATTCGATACAAGTTGTTTTCCATAGTTCAAAATCAGATGATCTTTTCCATAAATAAATGAAGGTCTTTTTCATATGTAGGCACCCAAGATTGTTTATAACTGTTCAGTAAGGGTAGCTTGAAACATGTACCACTGAAAGCTGAATAGTATGTAACTGCATTACTAAAAAAAAGTCCTTTAAAAGTAAAGAACACTGTAGTAAAGAAATAAGTTTTTTTTTAAATGTCACATTTTTTTGATAAAATATCTTGCTATTGATCATCAAAAGACATTTCTGAAAACAGAATAGTTCTAAAATCGAAAGAAACTCTAATTACAAATGTTTTTAAAAAAATTATTAGAACTTAGACATTTGTCTATATGACCTTATATATTTAAACTGCATATGCTTAGTGGTAGAGAACTTTTAGCTCTAATTTATTAAAATATAAATATATTAATCCTTGCTACCACTAGGAAAAAATCTTTTCTGATACTAAATGAATTCATAGTCGTTGAAGTTTAAAACATTTTAAGTTTTTCACAAATTACAAATTCAACATGAATTAAAATAAATTAACACTTTAAATGATACTCTAAATGCAAAAATTCAAATGCTGGGAAAGGGGGGGGGGAAAGAAATTTTCCAAGATAATAATCAGATTTCAAATTCTATCCATTTAATAATTACTGCATTTATTACTATTCCATCAATGGTTTAGCAAAATATGAAGGCATTCAAAACAAAATAATTAAAACTTTTAATTATGACTATTCAAACACCTGTTTCATATCAGTGGCAATGTAAGTTACTACTCACAATTTTTTCTTTCCACTATAATTCAGGAGAAAATGTCCCGCAGTGGACTGATCGTTAAGACACGGTTCCCAGCAGATCACCGGAATCAAGCATCACTGGCTGCGGTCAGTGTGCGGGTGGGTGACCCACTTGGATCAGTCTGCGTAGGGACCGAGGGTGTGCGGTATTGGTCCTCGTTAAACTGTGCTACCATAAAGTGCTCGACTTCGCGTGCAGGTCGTTGGGCTACCGAAGCGGGGGTGCCATCCCCTGTGCAGAGGATCAAAATTGTGATGGCATGTCTTCGGATCATCCGCAGGGATGTTTTCCAGACCGTCGCCAATAGCCCATTGTGCAGCTCTAGTGCGACGTAAATGAACTACAACAGGAGAAAGCAAAATTTTTTTGAATGCTAAGTTTAATTAATTTATCTGTGAGGCTAAAATGAAGAGGTGAAAATTATCTCCTGTGTTAGTAGCCTATTATTAGCTGAATATTGTTGTTTTTTCTTAATTAATTTGAAAAAGTTTTTTTTTTCACTCTTCCTCTTTCTGTTGACGATAGTAACTGAATTATTAGTTTTTTCAATTTTTCAAAAGAAGAAAAATTAGTCCGATTTCTGTTTTCTCTTTGTTTCCATTATTATTGCACTGCTACGAGAAAAATTTTATTTTAAAGAATCTCTGAAGGTAACTTTTGTTTCATAAATTGCTCTTTTTTACATAACAAGAGCTGCACTATATTCACAGATTTAAAAAATAAATATATTGAAACTCAAAACTTGAATTGGCTATTTTAATTTTAAAGAAAAAGCCTCTAGCTTTTCTATTTTGGGCTCTAGTCCACCTTTCTTCTCTGCATAAACAAAATCTATGAAATGTATTTATTTCAATAATAATATGTCAATGTGGTATATATCTTCTTTAAAATTTGGCAGTTGCAATGCATCAAGACCACTTTGTAAATGTGCATCTCTTTTTTGGTGGCATGCTAAAAAACTTTAAAGACAATGACTTAAATCAACTTCACATTTGTTCTTCCTTGTTACTTGTCATGCCATTAGAAGCAAAGATGATCGAAATATTAAAAACACTGGTGACTCATTTTTGTAATGTTATCATACTATTTCATGCATGGGAAAATGATAAATTATTCAACGTTTTCTTTAGACTTTTTGATTAAAATTGTATTGTATATGTACCTTTTAATTAAGCCCCTCTGCTTTAAATGATTTAAATTTCATTTATGATTTTATTTAATTCGGAATACTATAATTTTTGCTTGAAATTTATTTGGACTTCAAATCTAACGTGTATTGATAATAATTTTCTTTTTTGCAGAATTGCAACAAGGCAGTCTTCTTTGAGAAATTGGCTATCGTATAGTGATATCTGTAGTATGCTTCATGATAAGGCTTTTGAAACTTTTTGGGCACCTTGTTTTAAAAGGATTATGAAGGTATTTAATTTGTATCTAAATCTTGATATTTGATATTTCCTGAATTTTGACTAATCAGGAAGAAGAAAAAAATTCTGCAAAATCTGATAACATATTTTAAATAATCATTTTTGGTAATTTTCATTTTCATTTTATAGGAAACAAAGTTCTCTTATTTAATAACATAAAAGCAAATTTTGAACTTTTTATTTAAAATAATATAACACTTTTATAACATCAAATTTTCTTTTAGGCTATGGTTTTATGGACTGTTGGATATGTTGCTACAGCTCTGACTCTACATAATGCAAGCTTTGCTATTCATAAATTGCTTGAAGGAAAACACGAGCTGAAAAATCTCTCTGAAATAAATTCGACTTCCGAACTTCAGAATCATGTTCAAAGTATTGACAAACCCTTTAATAATAATCTCATTGAAGGTAGTAACACGGAATTCTTAAAGCTTCCACTATCATTTGAAACTCTTACTGAACAAGAATCAGAAAATATGGAAATGGTACAAGGCTATGGAAATGGAATTTACACCTATGAAATAAATCACAATATGTGTGATAAGTCAAATCCTGAGAGAATATCTTTTAAGTCTAATAAGTCAAGGTTACAAATACTGGAAAATTTAAAAACGACCTTGACCTCTCATGCCTTGACTCGTGAGCTAATACTCGTAAATGACTCCTATGGTAATTGTGGTACTCGCTGTAGACAAAACACTAATTGTTTTTCTCTTCTTATGTGATATTTTGAAAGCTAACAACATAAATGTTACTTTTTAATATTAGTTCTGATTGTTAAATTTGATAACATATATATTTTTCTGTGGAATTTTATAACATTTTTAATGCAATAACATTAGTTTCTTATGGATTGTTATCTTACTATTATTGAAGTAAGGAAGAAAAAAGTAATAAGTTGACAACTTCCTTTTAGATCAATTAGAGATTTTATTCCTTATTATAAACTAGCTAATTATTATATAAAAAATTTTTAATACATTTAATAGTTGTGATATAAAATCAATAAAAGTTATAAAAATCTTCCATGACAGCTTGTGTATTTTCTACTAATCACTTCAATCTCAAGCTGTTTATTTTAAATATATAAATTTAAAAATCTTTTCTTTTTTATTTAGAAATTCTATTGTTGCATTGTGTAATGTTGGATTTTTGTCTTGCAATATAATATTTTTTACCTTTTCATAAAATTGTAAAAATGGTATATTAGTGTTAAAATGCAGTGTATGATTTACCTATGAGTCATTTTCAAAAAAAAAAAACTACCTATCCACAAAAAGCATAAAAATTTTAAACTTATCAGAAGTTAAAATTTACAAGATGCATGTTTCAAAGTTGTTCTTTCAAGGTACAAGTTATAACTTTAAAGTTTTATTTGCGATTTACTATTTTGTAAGATTTAACATTTTTACAATACAATTAATGTGTTTTGTCTTTATGCAGCTATCTCTCTGAAACTTCTTTGCTTTTTTTTTCTATTTTCTCAAGCAATCAATATTTTCCTTCCATTTTTTTAATGCTTTAAAGAAATTTATTGAATATTATAAATAATATATCAGCAATTTCATTCTAAAAAATTAGATAAGCAAATAAATAGAAACTAATACATGAAAAGCAAATAAATACAATTTCAGCATGAGTATTTTACACAATCAGACAAAACTGTAATTTACTTGATGTTTTTACTTAGGTAATGGTCACTATAAACAGGGTTCATTTTTTACTTTAAAAATGATTGGGCATTGGAGACTGAAAAAGACTATATACTCAAAGAAAGGGCACCTTTCTGCAAACAAGGATTATATTTCACAAAAAGAAAGAATGGTTCATAATATTCAAAGCTCTAAATTTTTTCATTTAAAAATTCGTAATTTTTAAACTTAAATAATTGAAACTGAAACAAGACTTATTATTTGATGGAAATATACTGATTTCTAATAAAATTTTCACACACTATAAATTGGTTTTGAAGTAATCAAGATTTTAATAACCACATGGAAAAACATAGCAATATTAATTGAAAAAGCAAGTGAAACACCTCTTGACTTTACCTGAAATTGATCATGTTCGAAATTTGTTATGTGCAATTTTAAATTCAGTAGTTGTAATAATATTGTATTTAAAATATGGGGTATTTAAAAACAATGTTGATATGGATGTAAAATCAATAAAGATTGTTGAAAAAGGATTGGAGAAGGAATCTGAAAGTGGTTGCTCAAATTTGGAAAAACCATGCGAAAATATCCAAAAGATTAAATTCAAATATGAAATTTGCCTGTTATAGTAACAACGTAATAAAAATATCAGAATTTGAAAAACCGCATGGTAATGCTCAAAATACAGTAAGTAGTTGCCAAAATCAAATTATTAAAAAAAAAACACTTAGATTCTGGAGGGAATCAACAGAAATTAAACTTTTTTTTAATATGTATAAACTTTTTTTAAATATCGTAAAAACGTAGGATCAAAGAGCATCATGCGAGCAGAAGTTTTTGTGCAATGCAAGTGCTCTGTGCAAATACCATCAAGAATAAATCCTACTGCGAATATGATCTTCTAGAATTAATAATTATATATAGAAAGTAAAGTAATATTCATGAAGACAATGAAGATTTTTTACAACTTTCTTACCGATTCATTTGTCAAAAGAAAGATAACTTGTTTTTCTTTCAAAATCTAGATAACTTCCTTAAATTACTTACTCACTCGCAATAAAGTTCTTGTTGAATCATAACCTCACTAATAATTCTCTTTTGAAGATCTGTAAAATATCCAATCTCTGAATTAAATGGTTGCAGTAAAAGGCAAATAAGATTATTTGAAAATTTCCACCCCTAATACAATGTGTTTCAGCAGGAAAGAATAAGGCTTGCTTCTTTAGCAAATAATATAAGTTAAAAGAAAATGAAGAACTGATAAATATGTGTGATTTTAGTAACAGAATAATCTGCATTGGTATTTGAATGTATTAAATTAGTAAAAAGAAAATTTGCAATAATTGTTTAATACTAACACATTTTTTTTTTAACTTTCTACCTCAATTTGTCTTAAATTGGTTGATGTAACAATTTTTGCTGATATACAATACTATTTTACTGTCTAATAACAATTGTTAAAATTGAGCTTAGCCTGCAATATGATAACTGTACAGGACTGCCATTTGGGAACTTTTTTTCTAATGATAGCTAAATTTATATTTTAATGTATGATTTGTTGTTTTGTAAATTTGATTTAAATTTATTTTCTCTCCACTACATTAAATGATTCAGAATTTTATAAGAAACGTCACTTTGTTCTAGCTCACTCATTGCGAGGCTTTAAAAATGCTGGCAAAATTACCAAAAATTCTGGAAGCTGTAGTTTTTAATTGGCTGTTGCTCAATGAAATATTTTTCATAAAACATATTAGTTGGCAACCCTGACTATCAGTTGTGTGACTAGTTTTATTAAACAGTTGTAATAAGTTTTTAACCTGAAAAAGTTACATTTTTTAGCTCTTGTGCAGAATATAAATTTTTACATACCCTTTTATTCCTTCTTTAAGTCTTAGAAATATTTGCATTTTTCAAGCATGTGAAATAGCATGTTTTCCATAGTATCAAGCATGTTTTTTTTTTATTGTTATTAAAATAAATTAGATCTGAAATACCACTGGCAGTGAGCTGGGGTTTTCTGTGGAAATGACTCATCAGGGTTTTGTACTAACATACCAAAATAAATTGTATGAATCAGCAATATCACTCTGAAAAACAAGTTTCCAGTTTTTCTTCTTACATAACTTCTGTGTTATTTTTAATTTCTTGTTTTTAATTTTCTAAAAAATAATGCATCAGTTTGAAAAATTATTTTTTATAATTTTCTTTTATTAACAATGAAAAAGAACAGTACTAAAAAAATAACAAATAATCAAAAAAAAAGTTTTAGTGCAGACTTGAGTTAAGTAAAGTCATTTTTTTAACTTTATTTCTCATTTTGTTAAATTAGAAATTTATCTAAGGACAACAAATAATTTACTTTTCTCAAAAAAAAATTTGGAGGAAAACTAGACTTATCAAAATCAGTATGTTTTTTATTAAAAAAGGAAATCCATAAAAGTAAAACCTTTCTTCCAAATTTCATGATTTTTAAATAAAAAAATCTAACTATGCACTTGTTGAACTCTAAAATATGCCTCTCATAAAAGTTAAATATTACTTGAGTAGATCTTGTTGTGATTATATTCTACAAAATATTATTATAGTTTTTTAAAGAAGTAAAAATGAAAAAGCATAAATTGAATTTAAAAAAATATGTTGCATTATAGCAAAAATCACACATAGTAATCAGGATTGCAATAGACATTGGATCAGGATAATCACACATAGTTATCAGGATTGCAGGCCGTGATGATCTCGAAAATCATCACGGCCAGCGAAAAAAATGGGCAAGGCACCAGGTAGGATAGACAACTGAGCGAGACCCAGATTTAATCTTCTGTATTTTTTTATTTCCTCCTTTTTTAAAGTATCCGTTTTAAAAAATATATTTATAGGTTATTTTTTATTAATTACAAATTCTTAGATTAACTTTTATTATGGTTAAAATTCTCTATGTAAAAGTTTTACTAAAGATAGAAAAAGAGTTAACGGCTAAAAAACCACTTGTTTGACATTGAATAGAATGAGTTACAGGGAAGATCTTTTCTATAGAGATTTATGGTTCAGGAAACCTTGTGGTGTAACTACCATTAAATTAAATCCCTTCAACCTTCCAACAAACTAGCTAATATCCAAAAGTTATTTGTTTGGAACAATAATTTAATATTACTCTCTGTTCTTTTAATAATATGTTTTATTTCAAGTAATTTTTAATTTATTTTAAACAGTTATTTTTAAGATAGTATATTTCATTAATAATTTATTAACAGTACGCTTGTCACTTCGTCATGAAAACTGTTATCATGGACAATTTTAGATACAACTAGGTAATAAAGTAAGAATGAAAGGTTACCAGTCAATGGATCAGTGAATAGGTAAATCAATACGGGTAAACAGGATTAATAAGCAGTGAATTAGTTTATGGACGAATGATTGAAGGACATTTTAGTGAATAGTCAGATGAATGAGTTTATAAAATATTTATAAACCTATTAATTGCTTAGTGACAGTTGACGAGAAAAAAAAATTTATTTCGAAAATAATTTTTAACAAAATAATGACACACTGAATACAAATTAATTGAATCTTAGTGTGGAAAATTAGTTCTTTATATTTTATTATTAAATTTTTGAAATAATTAAAAGTAAAAATTTTAATTATTTATAATATATTCAATTTTTTCTTAAATTTGAACAATTCATTAAATAGTTATCATTAAACAATTATATTTGTTCATTTTTGTTTCTTCCCTTTTGTATAGTTTCTTCATTTCTTGTCTTGAAAAAAATAGGTTTTTACCAGACAAAATGCCAATCGTTATTTATTGTATTGTAATTTTATTGTTTGTGTTCTATTATTTTGTACCTTAAATGAACTGTGGCTGTTGAAAGCTTTCAAGAGACTCAACATTGTGTGTTATTTTGGTTTCCTTATTCAGCTTGTTATTTTATTTTTTGTAGCAGAGAATCTAAGAAAAGTTAGAAGTCATGACTCCTTTTAATTACCATTTCAGTCTTTTTAAGTTGAGATCATTTTCAGTTCCTATTCCACATTATTTACAATGTGGTGTTTGCATATATCTTTTTTTTTTCTAATTTGGTTTATGCCCATTTTCCTGTTTTCATAGATTCGCTTCCTTTTTTACTTATTATATTAATTAATTTCAGTACATTTATTTTATATGTATAACGTACCCAGACAAGATTCTTCAAGTTTGAATTAAAATCTTAAATTGTATACAACTCGTATCTCACACCCATATTATTTATTCCATGGAGAAATGGTCCAATGGGGAAAAAATGGCCTGCAATTTTTCAAATGTTTACTGTGAGCTGGATTAAATTTAGCTCATTTGTGAAGTTTGTCACATTCTTAAACTTGTATTATGTCTACAGTTAAAAAGACTATGTAATCTCAAAATTTTACTGTTTGCATGGATTTTCCATTTTCTGTTGTTATAAATTAATCCGAATATTTTTCTCTTATTCTAAAATTCTTCAATCTGCTTACTATATTTTATATGTTTCAATAGTATATAAAAATAACTGTCACAATTCTATAACAACCTTTTCCAAAAAATGTTACACAGAACAAATTGGTCAATTTTAGGGTTGCATGCGTTCCAGGAGTAAGGACTTGTTTTCGAGTGGATCTATTATATTTCAGACCATAATCAAGATGTATATTAATTAGTACAATGAAAGGTAGTGTTGCATTTGCAATACAACTTAATGCAATATTTTTGCAATACAACTTAAAATAATACTTTTGCAATACAACTTAATGTAATACTCTTGCAATACAACTTAATGTAATATTTTTGCAATACAACTTGTAAAGACAGATATCGCTAGAATGCCGATTCAGTTTGTTTTCAGGGCAGAATCAAAATAGACTACTGTGGTGGTAGCCTAAACTCTCAAATTTTTAGGGCTTCACAAAGGGTTTCTGAAAATTATCAAAGTAAAATTGATTTTTGTAATTTTTTAGACATTTTCAATGCGTAATGTTTTACTATCTTTTTTTTAATGTATTAAAATGTATTTCGAGTATAAATTTCAGAAAACGAAATAATGTTTTGCCTTGTAATCTTATAAAAACTAAAGATTTAAAGAAGGAAGATCTGTTGGTGAAAAACTTCACCCCTGCACTCTTACCCAACTTCCTAATTTGATCGATTATCTTTCGTGCAAGGGCTTGATTTTTCCAACTATCTAATTTTATGTTCTGTTAAACAATTAAAATTTATTGGGGTGCTTTGTTGGCAAAATATAAAAAATTTAGTAAAAAGGTAAATTTTAATTTTTTTTTTCGATTGTAAATATAGAAGTCTAACAGTATTTTACTTTTTTTTGCATTACTATTTTTGTAAAAAAAAATAAAAATTTCAAAAAACTTTATCTTTTTGAATCTCGGTAAAATCACGCTATCTTGAAATTGAATTTCATAAAAGTTTTCAATATTACAAATGTATGGACCCAAGTAACGCATCTGCCTCCAGGTCCCATCCTACCTTAATCCAACTCTGCTAGTTTTTGAGAAAAGCCTGTAGGGAAAGAAAAAGAAAAAAAAAATTTTTTTTTTTTTGCTGCACGCTTTTGAACACAATCTCAACTCGGGAAGAAATGTTTGAAACTTGTTGATACTTACATGACTGAACATGTTGATTGGGGAAAAAAATTTATTACATATGCAGCTATATTAGCGGCAGCTATGAATAAAAAATCTTGACCCCAGAGTGCAACCCAAATCTTTGGGTTTTACTTAGCCATGCCCTTGTTTACATAGAACTTAATTGAAGATTATTATTCATAAAGCATGTAGTCTCATTCCCTACAATAAATATTTTCAAAATAATTAATATTTTCTCTTTGGTTTATGTGTTCAAAATTTTTTATGTAACAATTGCTTTGGTTTATGTGGCTCTTTATGCAATAAGTGCTTTATATTTTTACAGTACTTTATGAAATTATTTAATAAATCAATGTTCCACGAAATAAGGATCAATCATTTAGACTTTCATAGCGAAAAGAAATTGGGAATTTCTGGTCTATAACACTTACAACGAATATCATATAACTGCAGTTAACTTGTATTATTACATAAGATAAATTCTGAATTTTGATGAAATTATGAGTTGTATGAAACTGCTGTATTTATCTTTAAATGTTTGTTTTGAAATTATGAAAATATCATTAAAATAATTAGTTCTGCTAATATTTTATGTTGTGATTTTATTTAATTTTTAATAAACACTTAGTTTAGAATAAACACTGCTGGCATAAATTTATTAAATGGCCCCTTAGTACCTATTATTAGCTATCTACTTCAATATGTTTTTTTATTTGCTTAATGATAATCTAAAGGTTAACTGTTAATGAAAAAGTAACTTAATGAATTTATAAAAAAATATTTGTATTTTAGTTACAATATTTGTATTTGTAAATAATTGCTGCATCAACAAACAGAAGTTTACTTCTCTAAAAACTGGCAATAATTTCAATAATAGTAAAAAGGTTAGCTTTTAATTTGAATTATGGTCACTTTAACTCATCTGATAACATACAGATATTGCAGAATAAAACAGTTTAACTTCAATATCATTTTGTATTTTAACTACTGAAGGTCACAAATTTAGAATCCACTGGCACACATTATTTTTTGTTTGTGACATGGATGTACCAGTGTAATTTCTGTGATACTCAGTGAACATGGAATTTTTTCAATGAATATAGGGGAGAGTTGGACAAAAACGGGATACCATTATTATTTTTATTTACTACGGAATATCTGTTAAGGAAAACCCTACATTATTTTTTTTTTGTAGAGACAGCATTTATTGAAGCACACAAAAAACATATTTTAAACTAATTTTAATGACTGTGAAATAGAAAAAAAAATTAATTTCCAAACTCTTACATATCCCGTTTTAGCATACCTGGGTTGGATAAAACGGGATAGGGTTTACAATGTTTAATTTTTTGCATAATACTAAGTGAAAAGCATAATTAACTGTCAGAGAAAAAATTTCTATAAATTATATTCATGGGATTTTACTGTTCAAACACTTTTATATAGATTGTTCTTTTATAAATAAGTACACAAAAAATATGATGCTACATTTGTTTTTAAAGACTGCGAGTTTTCAAACATGAAGGCTTATTTCCGCAATTTTCATTGTCGAGATGTGCTTTGTGCTCTTAAGAGAGGTTTCTTAGCAGCCTTTTCTTCAATTCTCTTGGTTCTTTTTTGTAGTTTAATAATCCTTTCCTTTTCCTCCATTTCTAATTTAATTTTATTTCTAATTCACTCCATTGATGTCGCAACATCCCCGAAAGACTCTTTAATAATCAAATATTTAAATTCTTCAGTAAACAAAGAGAAGAATTCTTTTTAGAATCGAATGTTGATTGAATTGAGTAATTCAGAAAATTACGAAGTTTATATATAAAAAATCTCAAGTCTTCATCAGAGAAATACATTACAATTAGTTCTAAAGAAAGATGTGAAATCCTAGAGTCGAAAATAAAATGCTTAATAACGAACGTTAATAAACAAATTTTGCAATACTATATAGAGACTAAATTCTGCAAAAATGTATATAGCTAATATAAATAAGCTGTTCAAAAAGTCTAGGCCTACATATGGCTATTTTAAAATGTAATAATCCAACAAATAAATAGGTGGATAAAACGGGACATAAAAAACTCTATCCCGTTTTATCCAACTCATAAGTGCCCCGTTTTGTCCGACTCCGACACTTTTTGAAACAAACATGGCTGCTGCCTAAATGTGAAAAGAAAATTAGATAGACTGCACATAAAAATATTGGTAAATAAATGGTTAATCAAATTTAATACTCACCGGAATTTTATTCCCATATATGTAGGCAGTACAATATAAAAAACAACGCACGTAAATGTAGAAAATGGAAAGAAAATAGAATAAAAAAGTTCTGAGACCTACAAATTTCTATCAAATAGTGATCTCGAGACGGGGTGCACCGAGAATGATATAATCACGGTCGAATAACACGTTTCTGTCGTTGTCCACTATATAGCTGCAATAGTCTGGTTCCTAGGCGTCGTATCCCGTTTTGTCCGACTATCCCGTTTTATCCAACTCTCCCCTATATATAATCAGTTTGAAGTAATGAAGACTTTTACTTAGAAGAGGTTTTGACAAAGTTGATCACAGCCTACAGTAGTAACATTGGGCAAGATGACATAGTCATTTTAGAAGGAAGCACTTTTTTAATTATTTAATATAATTAGAAAGTAGGAGTTATGAATATTTTCTAATATTATTTGGAGGAGAGATATATTTTTAATACCTTTTTTAGTGGAATACATTTCATTTAATTTTTAACTGTATATATACTATATCATAGTGAATAGAATTTCATTTTTATTTCCGTTGTTGAACAGACGACCCAATTTTGAGTTTATGTCTACAAATGTTCAACTCCATAGCTTTGAACCCAATCCAGAAGACAAGGGAACTCCTGGATCAAATATTGGGCGAAATTTGCCTTCGTTGAGGTTTTTTCTTTTTCTTTTGAGGTAACTAACACACATTTGCATTATGCGAAGAAAACCTCTCATGGTTATCCTGACGCCAAGGGAACTCTAACCCATTATTCGTTTAGCACTGAGGATGTTTTTACTTCAGCACTGTAGTCGGTGCGGAACTCCATTACCATCACTGGCATTTGAACCCGAGTCATATCATTAGAGATTTAATATACATTTGTTCCACCTGTGAAAGTCTCCTCTAAATAAGTGACACCCTCTATTTGGAAGGACAATACCGTTGGTCCTGATCCTTTTGAATATGAGCCTTTATTGAAAACACTGTTAACAGTTTTAAAAAATGTGAGAAGTAGTGAAATTATTCGACGAAAAATAAGCACTCAAAAAATATTTTTAAGCACTTCAAAAAAATATCATAATTAGGCAGGGTTGGAAAGTTTTTGACAACTCGGTTTTATTTTGTTTTAACCGTCCTGTTGAAAGAAAAAAAACTTTTGGCATTGTTTTTGACAATTGTCAAAAATCACGAAATTTTGAATCATGTAAAACGAATGGCGTTTTCTTACTCTACGGACTGACAATACGCCGAAAAAGATTGGGGTTGAATTAATTGTGAAAGCGTTAAATAGAACAATGTAAACTGTGTCTTTTTCCATAATTCGTGGCGAAAATAAACATGGTAAAGGAAAAATCTCATTGTGAAATAGGGAAAATCAAGCACTTCTTAAAAACATTCACTGAAAAAAGCACCTTTAAGGGTTTTTAAAAACCGAAAATAAGCACTTTTTAAAAACGCTACGCACCCTGAATAAAAAAAATTGAAATACTCTCTATTAACTTATAAATCCCTCTCTCTTTTGATGATTTCGGCTTTTAAGGGAGGATAAAAGAAGTAGTCAGATAATTGGATTATCCGTCACAATTATGAATTGCTAATTCTTAAGGGATAAAGGAGGGATTCCAATAGGATAAAGGAAAATTTCTATCATATTTAGTTCTTACAAAGGTTTTGTAGAGAAGTGTAGTGTTATACTAGTGTGCTATTTTTGTAGGTATCTATCACTGTTTTAAAGAGGAAAATTATAACATTAAAAGAAAAAATTGATAGAATAGTGGAAATTTAAAAGATTTTAGGCAGCAACAGTCAATGCATGATCCATGTTTTTTGAAGGTGCTTATTTTCGATTTTTAAAAGCCCTTAAAGGTGCTTTTTTCATGGCGTTTTTAAAAAGTGCTTAATTTTCCTTTTCGAGAATGAGGTTTTAATTTTTTATCATGTCGATTTTCACCATGTATTATACAAAAGCGTGCTTTTTACATTGTTCTATTCAACGTTTTTAAAATTCATTCAACCACAATCCATCTCGGCGTTCCATCGGTCCATAGCGTATGAAATCACCAATCATTTTGCATGTTTTACATTAATCATGATCATGTCAAGTCTTTGATAATTATTTTGCGTTCTTTAATGTATATAGTGCGTAAAAATATTTTTTGAGAGCTTAAAAGGTGCTTATCTTTTGTTTAAAGATATGGCTAGGCACATTGATGATCTTTTCATTTTGCGATGTAGTTAAGTTAGCTATTAACTGAGCATTTAGCCAAAATTTAAATATTTGCCTTATTTTTCTTTGAAATCTAAATAAACACTGATTTTGAAGCATTCTTGCTCCACACTACCTGTTTTGCTGGAGCATGTTTAATTGATACAGTAATGTTTCATTGATTTTGTTCTATAAGAACAAGAAAGATTCCTGTACCAGTAAGAGAAAAAAAGTTTCAGGTGATTTGGGATTAATAGTATTTTATTACAAGACTTAAAAGTATCAAGTGGTTTGTTAGACAAAGTTAAGCAAAGCCATCATTTCCTTTTTATGACTGATAATAATCGTTAAATATTAATTTTCAGAAGACTGGATAAAAAAATCTGAATGAAATCTGTGTACCCAAATTTCTAATTAAATAATCTTTTTTTTATATATAAAAAACATTATTGCACTTTTATTTTAATTAGAAATTAAGACAAAAGTAGTTAATTCATGTAGTTTTCTTTTATTCAAAACACAAAAAATTACTGAACTATACAAGAGAGGAAAACTAAGAACATAATATACAGAAAACATTTATAGCTTGGCAAAACTACCTTTTTAGGACGAAGACAAATACCCCTTTATATAGGGTGCAAAAGATTATGGCAAGTAATCATTTACAAATAATTTTATGAATGTAAAAAATGCTCAAGAAATAACAAATATCTTTATAAAAAACCTTTAACCTGCTCATCCTTGAAATGAACACAGATGAGCATATGGGGTGCATCTGCTGTAGGGACATTAGTTTTTTTATCTATATAAATCCCTTAAAATATTGCTAAATCCTAAATTGAAAAATTGCTTAATATATTGCCAAACATAATTGTCTACTCTTGTTCTGAAACAGACCTGCTTGATAACAATTATCCTAACATTTAAGACTGTGTTCAGAATTGAATAAAATATCACCATTGGCTATCAGCATATAGCCCATTTGATGCAATAGTTAGTAAATTATGATTTCTTCTTATTTTCAATAGATTCATCAATCGCGTTGTGCATCGAGGTAAGTAAAATATTGCATTTTCCTACATAGTTAGTATAATATTGCATACATAGTTAGCATTTTTTTAAGTTGCTATAAGCAAACTATATAAGTGACAATAAGTTAATTGCAAAATGAGCCACATATATAACCCTACATTTCTATTTTTAAACTTCGATTAGGATATTTTAATTCCTTATAGTAGTTTCTGGGAATAGAGATTGAAAAAGAGGAAACAGTAACTCAGTATGGAAAATTATTCACATCAGCTTAATGTATAAATTTTGTTAATAAAAAATTCTGTAAGCTTCAATGTACTGTAGATTGATTTCTAAGAAAGAAAATCTAATATTTTTTATTTTGATTTTTTAACACGTTTTCAGTTATTTTTGATTTTTTCTCAAGGATATTAAGGTTCTTCTTAAAAGTACCTTTTATTGATATTCTACAGAAGAAATGTAAACTTGGTTGTTGAATTAATCGATTTTTGGAAAAAAAAAAAGCAATTTTATTTACATTTGATTTTTTTTTAAAATTCTTATCGTTTTTTATTTTAATAATTTTTTTCTATAAAAAAATTTCATATTTTATAACATACTAGTTATTAATATGTTTTTTTTAAATAAATAAAATAAAGAATTATTGATATACTTTTACAATAAATCAGACAATTTGCTAATGGAAGGAGAGAAAAATTCATAGTATAATTTCATTTCCAACTATCATTTGCTTCATTAAAAACTTAAGTTTTAATAGCTAATCTACTCTTACTTTTTTTTAACGAATTATAAGAGTGTAATTTAATTTTGGAAAGAAGTTTGCATTACCTTCCGTTTAAATCATAAAAGGATAATAATAAAAAAAGTACCTATAATGTAGGTAAGAAAAAAAGACATTTTAAGGGAAGAAAATTATCTTCATGTGTTGTAGTAATATCTAAAAACATGTTTTGTCCATTAAATTTGAAGCTATATTTTTAAATATAATTAAAACTAAAACTTTCATTTTTCTGAATTTCTTTTATATACATATACACAGTTCTTTCAGAGTTTACTTTTTCATATGAAAGTGGTTGGTTTTTCCGTTTTAGCAATGAATATAAGAAAAAACACTGCTGCTGTTAAGGAATTAATCTGAGATATTTTTATATTTCTTAAAGATTAAGTTACTAATATAAATTTAGTGAAATAAATAGGTTCATTTCATTATAATATTAAAACATTTGTTTATCAGTATTACTTTATTCGCTTTATTACTTTTCCTAGATAGTTTTGTGACCAAGTAATTTAAATGGTTTGATTGCTTTAAGAAAATTTTTTTTTAAAAAATGAAGCAAATGAACAGTATCATATTCATATTTTCCCTGATATTGTAAGCACAAAAATACAATTATGGTTCTTTGCAACACCAAATAAATAAAAATAGACAGCTAAAACAATGAAATAAGCATGTACAAAAGGAAATTAAAATTTTTTGATCATGTTAAAGCATGCCTAAGTTGGTTGCCATAATTTTGTTGCACCCTGTAATATCTAATTTACATTTAAGATTCACATTTACGAAGATACATCACAAAGTGGCATTTTGCATTTTTTATAAGGAACTTTTATAATAAAACTCACATAAATTTCTTTCAACATGGGTGTACAAATCTGCTGTGAAGGAGTTACAGGACATAACTAATAATAAACCACAACAAATCATATAATTAAACCACCACTAAATTTTAGTTTTTATTATCTTTTAATTTGTCAAAGTGTAAACAATGTTATTAATATTTGATGTTTTCACCACTAAAACACAATTTATGGATATTGAAGGAAAAAAAGGCAACTCAAGGACATCATTTGCTAAGTGTATCTTTTGAGGACCCTGTTCCTATCAATTAAAATTATTTAGCACTGGTTAAGATGGCTTAAAATTAGTGATTTTTACAATGAAAATAATAAACATGAATAAATACTAGAAATGTTTAAAGATGCAGAATTGAATTAAAACTAATGTCATATGCATAAATAATTTTCAGATTATTTGAGATTGACTCAACAGGCAATTTCCTTAGCCCTAATGATCCAAAAGTTACAGAATTGGGTATCACAGAATTAAGCCATAAAACATGAAAATGAGTGTTTTCCAATGCTAGGGAAAATCTACTTAGAAACATTCAAATGGATCAAGTGATCCTTCCCTCTATGTAGGGCAAAAATAGAAAGTTGTTTTGTAGTAAGATTTTTAATAGTGGTCACTTTTTAAAAGATGCTGCCAAATTTTCAAAAATAAAAAAGTCTAATTTACTAAAAAATGCTGATGCTAATAATATTACACATTTCTCAACATATACAACATTTCAAGGTTCATTTCTAAAGTGAAAAATAAGGTAATTTTCGGAATTTTATAAAATATTCCAAATAATTCCATAATTAATTTTTAAAAAAAACTAATAAAGTAGAGTATTGGTTATATTATTCGCACTATAGTAAGTGGCAATTGTTCATTTTGCTTTATATCCCTCTACCACTTGTTAATAACCTCTGATATAATTGAGTAGTATATTCATTATTTTAGATAATTCTAAAAAGTAATAACTTCTTGGATATTTCTAAGAATCAGTCATTCTTTTAATACAATATTCATAAGCTGCCAGAAAGATAAGAAAACGTGGCTAGTTATGGTCGATACTTTGAGTAATCAATTAACCATTTTTGTACAATTAAACCCCATGTTTTCCAGAAAAATCCTTCACAACTTATTCATACACCTAATAACCTCCAAAACAAATAAATAAATCTTCATTCAGTCGCTTAGAATGAGTCACAAATTTAAATAAGAGAAATGAGACTTTTGTTTTCAAAGCCAGTTATTTTCAATTTTCAGAAATTTTGCAGGGTAATCCTTCACTACAGATATTTAAATGAAACATTTTATTTTTAAGGAACTTGTAGTACAGCATTTTTCATTAGACTAAGTTCAGTTTTATTGTTTGTGCAAAGACAACACGGGAAACTTTATTTAGAAAGAGTTTTTCATGTATTGCTTGATATATTGATGTTTTCATATGTTGTGGCAGCATATATAAGGAGCAGAATTTAGTCATCTTAGTTACTGATGGATGGAAATTTTTTATTTGACTTTGGATTGAGCTGATTTTGAATCAAGTAATGATTCCATTTTCTTTTAGTAGTTTTTGAAAGAAAAAAATTATTCTTTTTAAAGAAAAGTAAAAATAAAATAATTTTGGTTAAATGACTAAATCATAATTTTTATTTTTTAATAATTAATAAGATTAAAGAATAGACTTTCAAAAAAATTTTTTTAAGGATACTTAGAAAAAGTGGATTAAAATAGTGGTAGTGGTTTTGAAAACAAAAGCCTCAAATGTTCAATGATAAATAATCTAAAAATTATGTAAAATAGTGATGGGTAAAATTAGGCACTTAATAAACATCAGATATAAATAAATAAAATTGAATACATTCTAGGTATCACAAAAAAGTATCACAAATTCAATGCACGTGCTTTGTAGTCAATGCTCAACTTGTTAATAAATAATTTTGCTAAAAGTGCATAATAAATATATATGTGATTAAAAATGCATAATAAATAAACATTTTGCAAAAAAATGCACAAAATTAAATTTTTTCAAAATTTGCAGAATGGAAATTTGCTAAAATTGCAAAATAAACAGCTTGCAAGAAATATTTAATAAATAAAAAGATTTTGTAAATAATTCAAATAAATAAGTAAAAAATGCATAATAAAAAAAAATTTGATAAAGGGCATAATAAATAAATATTTGCTAAAAAGTTGTAAGAAATAAAAATTTCACTAAGAGTACAGAGTAAATAAAAAAAAGGTTTTGCCGAAATAATAAATATACTTAAATTTAAATCTCTTTTTTTGATTATTAACAGCTCTGTCTTTTTCCAAGTCTAGCTGAACATAGAAAGATAAATGAAGCATGAAAAAGTTCCTGCTTAGATTAATCTATAGAATACTTTTTCAGAACTAATACTTTACATTTAATTGAACTTAATTGTAACATGAAGGCCAAGTAGATATATTCTCTAAATTAAAGAAGTTAACAATCATTTCTTGTACAGAACTGCTAGCTGGAAGCAAAGTTGAAGTTACAGTCATCACATCGAATGAAATATCTAATTCAGCTTTCTTAACAGAAACTGAAAAAAAGTAAAAATATTTTGCTTATAAATATTATACTAAATACAGAGTAATATAGAAATAAACAAAACTTCAGCCACTAGTGAAATAAGAAAATAAAGTTTAAAAAATAAAAAAATTATATTCTAATGTTCTAGTTTTAATTTCAACAAACCAGTCAATAGAAATAAAAACAAGGCATAATCTATAATCTAAAGAATAAAATTAATTTAACTTACTAGTGGAATCTTTGATAAAAGCATCTGGGTAACATTCATCACCTAAAAAATGCGCAATTATTAGCTAAAACAAAAAGTTTTACCAATAATGAATGCTACTAACAACTATTTAGCATAGTAAATAAAAATAATTAGCTTAGTGCATTTGGTATTAACTCTTTTCTGCGAAATTCAAATTTCATTTCTTAATACACACATACATAAATTCATAGTCTAAAATTTACCTCATTAAAATTATAATATAATTTAATTTCATAAGCAATTATAATTTGATTTTATAAGATATTATTACCAACCAAAATCATTTCATATACATAATGTTTCAAAACCCTACTTTAAACTCAATGGAACAAAAGAAGTTTTCCATTTGAGACAAACATATTGAAAGACACTTCATACTTCAACATTTATAGATTTAAAATTAATAGGTCTGTCGCAAAATTTCTGTTAACTTTCATTCTATGCTGTAACAGGGTGAGCAGCTATATTTTTCAACAAAAAGTAAGCACTTTTTAAGAATTTTTGAAGCACTCAAAAAATATTTTTAATCACTTTCCAAAAAAAAATCATAATTAGGATATGTGCAATGATAAAAATTATTTTTTTTACATCGTTTAAAGATCTAAAATTATCGAACATCCAAGTGACACAAAATCGAAGTACTCCTGAATAAAAATTAGAAAAAATCTTGCAAAATAGTTCCGCAATATGTTACATCTAAGGTTATATGTTACATATCGTAATATGTTATATTTAAGGGATGATTTAAAATATTAATTTATGCATACTTGAACTAAAAATAGATTAAAAAACAGGCTATGAATAAAGTGTGAGAAAGCGTTTATTTTGGAATAATAAATTAAGAAAAAGATTTAGATAAGAAATAATCTAAAAAGATTAGTTAAAGCTTTCATGTATATATATATATAGATAGATAGATCCAGATTCTTTTTTTAAAGACAAGGCAAAAGTAAAAACTTGAGCAATGCTATTAACTATACTTCAATAAGCATTGTAATTATTACGGTGAATTTAATTTTATCTTTTACCAAGTTCAACTTGCCTCAGTTGGCTCCTTTAATACCAATTTCTGAATCTTAATATAGCAACAGGAATTAAATGAATATATTATCTTGTATAATTATGATATGGTGCATTCATAATTATTGGCACCATATAAATTTCCGTCATAAAAAATTTTATCGAATTACAAGGGTTGCACATAATTTTCTTCTCTCATTTCAGAAAATCATAAACCAAGGGTTAACTAAAAAAAATTTGAAAAACTTCAATTATTTCTTTACTTAATGCAAGGTTCATTTATATTTTATATGTAAAGGTTTCTTTTTATTATGGATGGATAACCCAATGTAAGCATTAACAAGAATCTTGAAACTGGAAAGTTTTGAACTTTTGGTATATCTCCCTGCTAATAATGTATATAAAAGCCATGCAATTAGCAGAGGGAAATGCTGAATACAATATTATCATTCATAGGGTAAAGGAACAAACAAAAATAGACATTTAAAGAAGAACTAAAAAGGTAAGAACATAGTTCAGAAACATTAAGAAATTTTTAAAACTCCTCATACAGTTAAAATAAAGCCAAAATTACTGTCTACTAGGCAAAATGAACAGTCATATATAATGGAAACAGAAATCTTTAGAAAATTCAATATTAACAAATCATAATTTTTTAAACAAATACATCAGAAATTTTTTTTTTAAAAATATTAGGACAAAAAAGATTTACAGATATTGCAAATAAAGCAAATATTATTTTAAAAAAACTATTATTTTAAAGCAAGGAATACTTGGCAAAGGCAAATAGAACAAAGAGTTTTAGATAAATGGAGCAATGAGATGCCAAGTCAAAGATAGGAATGTGTGGAAAGTTATTTCATGCTGGAAGTCCTGTAAACCAAGTACTGCAATGAAGCTAAAAAATTATTTTCATTAAATAATAAAAAAGAGTAACACAAAATGTGAAAAATCCACATCAGTTTGTCTCTTAGCCAATATGACTCTCACAATTGTTTAATAAGTACAAATTAGAATAATTGAATTAGCTTCATAATCAACTATTGTGAAACTTATTCAAATAACCTTAAATTTTATGTAGAGTTACAAAATAATAGTGCTTGAAATTCCATATTTTATAGTGATTATGTTTTCTTACCAATAGGTATATCTTCCGCATATGTTCAAGAAAACAGATATTACAAAACATCTAAAGAAGATACTTTTACAGAAAAATGATATTTGAATAGTACTTATTTGAATAGTAGAGAAATTTCCTTTTTGTTCATTTTAAGATACAGAGGCTAGGACTACAATGAGTATTTCGTTTTTCCAATCTTGTCTGATTTTCAATGTTTCTTGTGCGGCAGCAGAAATAAACTGGATGTGTTTTAGTTTTATAATAAGATTGAAATGACTTGCATGATCAGAAAAGTGAGACTCCAACTTTTAAATAAGTGGTATTGAACTACTATTCAAATAAGGCTTTCATATAAACAAGTTGAATTCCAGCATTTGGAGTTCTGGCAGTCTAGAAAATATACTCAATGTATAAACTTTTATTTTGGTATTTCTTTAAAACCAAACTGCATGTTTTTTCAAGAATGAAACTTATAATATTTAAACCATTTGCAAAAGGCAATTTTTAATGAATAACGTAAAGCCATGTATAAAAATTCAGTTGATTAAAAATAAACAGAAATGCGTGAATAATAAACCTATACAGTAATTATAAAGATAGGTTATAAAATAATTACATTTTCATTTTAATATGCTTATTAAGGTATTCATATTTCCTATTGAGCATTTGTGCATAGTGTTAGTATGAATATGGATATATATGTAATATTTTAATTCATTTACATTCTGAGTGTTATATAATAAACAAGTCTAGCTCTTTAGTATTTTGCATCATAGAGTAACAAGAAAAACAAAGCAGTAGTTTAATTTTTGCAGTTAAATCAGAGGTGGACTTATGCTATTTTTAACACCAAAAATCTTAAGCAAACCACTCTAATTTAATTTGCTTCTCCTTAACACTTTATCGAAATTATGTATGACATATGCAATAAATTAATAAATTTTATGGATTAAAAGTTAAATAATAATATAAACAAAATAATATTTTTTTTAAAAAAAATACATTATAATGTTCATAGCATAGTTGAGTAATTGCAAAAAAAAAATTTTTGTAATAATTAAATTACAATGAAATGTTCATAAACAAAAGAAGATACATAGAATAAACTAGAAAGAACAAATGGTGAAGCAAAGTTTAATTTGAAACAAATTGATTGGAATTGGCTTCATGTGATACAAAAACAGTATTCATGTACCATTAGTAGTTTTTATTTCATATTAAATGTTTATTTTCCCATTCTCATATCAAATGTTGCAAAAAGATCACAGACTTTTATCATAATAAGTAAAACAGTGCTTTTATCATGTAAAAGGGTTTTTTTCTTCTTTTATTTAGAAATAAAATAACAGCATCCTTTTTGTTACATTATCTGATCTGGAAAATTTGTTCTAGCTGAAGGAGATGAAACTACTTTTAAATTTCTTTTCACGAAAAAACATTTTTATTATTAAGAACTCTCACCAAATTGAAATAAAAGTACATGATGAATTTTAGCCACTTTCTTAATAGTAAATATTAATCACTTTTCATTCTTTCTTTGTGTTTGTATTGCTAGAAAAATGGACTTAAATATGCTGTTTTAGATATAGGGCAAATTATATAATCAAGATCCAATTTCATCTACATCTTGATTAAAAGTGTAGATAATTTTTGACTGACAGCAAATAGATATCTATAATTGTTTAGCAATCTTGTTACAGTAGCTATCTGAAAGATAGCAAAGATGAATGAGCATAAAAAATGCACCAATCACATTATGGATCTTTAATTTGCAACCACTAAATTAACTATATACCATCTTTACAGAAGTTCCCCTATGTAACCACTTTATGTTTGAGGGGGACCACTTATGTAACCACTTTATGTTCGAGTTTAATTTGAATCTTCTAAAAAAACAAGTTTACTTAAAGAACTAACATTTTTTTAAACATTTATTAATTAATTTCACCAATAAATTAGCAAATATTGGTAAACCCTAAGCTATATATCAACATGAAAATTCATTTATTAGAATTAAAATGACTCAGTATTCATTTTTCTTTACACACTACACATTTAAAAGTAAATTTACAAACAAAAAAAAGACATTTTTTTATGTGAGAAAATGTCATAAGGCCGCAGGTCCTGGGTTCGATCCTCAGGCCGGGCAAGGTTGACTCAGCCTTTCATCACTTCAGTGGGTCGATAAATGAGTACCAAGCATGCTTGGGAACTAAACACTGAGGGTTCCGCGTTCGGCTGACCACCTGACAACTGTCAAGAAAACTGAAGGTCTGAAGGTCAAGAAAACTGAGATGGGCACAGTAGGCCTTGGCCCTCTATGGGCTGTTGTGCCACTGAGTTTAGTTTAGTTATTGTCATAAGGAATGAAGACTATAAAATTATCTCAAAATAAAACAACTTCTTTATACAATTCTTATGTAATTAATTAAAAAAGTATCATAAAAAATATTTACCTTTACAAGATACTAAAACTTTTTCGGAACGAATCTTTCTTAATTTAGGCAATTTTCCACTCTTTAATAAAACATAATTTTCTCTAAAAACTCTTGTGTCATTTGTGAGATTAGCCTTAGTGAAATCGTCATATTTGTAAGACTCGTTGGATGAACTCGCATCATAATCCTAAAATATAAGGAATAATAATATTTTGTACGGAGAAACCATCCCTATTCACAACATATTATAAATCATAATTACCATATATTAACATCTTTTCACACAATTTAAAAGTTTTTCCAAGAAGAACATTATTCATTAAATCCAGGATTTTTTAAAAAAAAATAATAAGTATAGTAACAGAATGGTGATTAAACAAAAAAATTTTTTTATTTAGTCTGATCTTAAATGTAAAACTAAAATCAAAGCAGAAAGGCTGTACAAATGTAATGAAACCAACCAATGGGGGGAGGGATAAATGTTTAGCTTATTTTAGTTTAAAAGAGAGAAGGAGGGGTATGAGCCACGTTTACATAAGACCTTGAGCCATGTTTTCACAATTTTCTTTAAAAGCATGATAAAAATTTAACAAAAAAATTTTATGTTGAGAAATTTCGAATGTGGAAAAGTTGAATTTGGCAACAAAAAAATTTTTTTCAAAAATTTTCAAAGATCAATCACTTTAAATAAAAATGGATAAAACAAAAGATTCTTAGGATTCTTCTACGCAAAATTTTATAAAATGAATTAAAATGTAGACTTTAACATAAAGTTACATCTTTTTACTTGAATTTAATCCTAAAACTAGATTACAACAGTAAAAGTCAAAGTTAAAGCAAAAACCAAGGGAGGCATCTTTCCTACGTAAGCATAGGAGGGGTTTGTGATTTGCTTATTTTTTCCGACAGAGGAGGAAAAGTCTAAAATTTCCAAAAATAAGCTTGTGTAATATTTGATCGGCCCTCATATCTTAAAATATTTCAATTGTTAATTTGTTGTAGTTGTAGTAAGCTCTAATATTAAAAAGATTAAAGTATCTTAATTTTACCAAGAAGCAGATCTTAGAGGAATAGCTAAAAAAATAGCAGTGTTAGAAATTATAAAAGACAGTTACTGGTCAAAATGACAAGTAAGTAATAATATCTACTGGTTCATTTTAATTATAGCTAAGTGAGTTTCGTATTAAATTAAACACTAAATTGGTTTTATATAAAAAAATAATTAAAAATCAAAATTAAACAAAATGAACTAAATAAAAAGTAAAACACGTTTGTTGATGGGGATTTATTAGACTTAATTTTTTTAAATTATAATTTTGCATACAGTGTAATGCATTTCTTTATTTTCAGTACCAAATTCTAGCCATTTGTAATTCTTCAGTCACTGATTCTAAAACGCATAAGTTCTTTTATTCTTCTCCTTTATTTTCTTTCCTCAATGTTTCATTCTTTTCCATTTCCATTGACACGAAACTCTGCTGTAGTTCTACGGTTGATAAACAGATGGCATATTTAGTGGTCCAACAGATCACTGCATATTTATTCATGGTGGGTTTCAGCGGTCTCAAACCAGGGGACCACCAATGTTTTTAAATGCTGCTTAGGGTTAATTCACCTCTTTTAAAAGCATGCAAGGCAACTATAGCTATCAAATAATTCCTAAAATAGGTAGCTATAAAACTCATTTGTGACCTTGTATAAGCTAACAATATGCAGAAAAATTAATAATGAAAGATTTTGAGAAGAAAAATTAGGAAAAGCAGAATTATTAAAAGCAGTTAAAAATTTACCTGAAATATGCCTTTTGCTTCATAAAAGTTTTTAGATGTTATTGTCTTCAAAATAACACCATCTGTAACCCCAAAATATTTTACCAATTTCACACCTCCCTTAACACTTCCAACAACTTGAGCAATAGTTGTCACCTTGCCATTGTTTAAGTCAATTCCCATTATCTAGAAAAAAGCAATAAAGATTGCATATTATATGAATACTTGATTACAAATTAATTAATTCATTTAAAATAAGCCTTACTGTTGAAGAGGAAGGATTCACAGTTGTTATCATTAGTTGATTGCCACCTTTTATAAATTGTCCATCAGTCAAAATTCTAATCAAAAGTACAAATAAATTTTAAAAAATATAGAAATGAATAAACTTAGGCACATAAATATTAACATTTCCACATTAATCACAATATGTCCTTAGAAATAATTAATAGCACATTCTAGCAGTATAAAATTGCAACTTACTTATATCACTTATATCAAACAAGTCTCATTATATATCACTTGTTATAATAATGAATGTCCTCTTTAAATTTTGAAAGCCCACCCTTAAACTTTCTTTAAAAACTTCTCACAAATGTGAAAGATAATATCAATTGTAGGTCAGGATGGAAGCTCGGCGGCTGAGTGGCATTGCTTCATACTCCTATGCCACAGGTCCAGGGTTATATCTCTTGTTGTTTAAGGTTGACTCAGCCTTTCATACCTTCAGTGGTTTGATAAAATGAGTACCAAGCATGCTTGGCTTGGGGACAAAACAGAGGGGATTCCGCGTTTCACTAACCATCCAACAGTAACATCTATTCCTGCACACCAGAGCTCAAGGTCAAGAAAACTGAGATGGGTTTAGTACACTAGCCATAAGCTGTAGAGTCACTGAGGTTAGTTTACTTCTTTAGTAAGTCTGGGTGCAAAAAGGTGGTTATTCTATTTTTTTCACTATTTCAAAGTCCTATTATTGTTTTAAAATACAATTTGTTACAAAGACGTTAAGTTTTTGCCAGTTTTTCCCCTTTATTTCCAAATAATTGAATTTGTTAGAGCCATAAAATAGTCCCCTTTTTACAGTTTCAAGAAGAAAGTTTCCAACAGCTTTTAAAACTGCAAAATTACGAGATCAGACTTGCCTCCTTTTTGCATCCAGGTCATCAATTGTAGAAATGTATTAACTTTGAACATTGCTTTTTGCAGCGTTACAACTGCAAGAAACAATGGTCTCATTTCAATTGTGAGAATATTGAGCCAAAAATTAAAAATCTTATTTCTTATTTAGGATGTCCATGAAATCTTCAATTAAAATAAAAATCCCTTCTTTTATTGTTTAAGTACAAATCTATCATACTTTAAAACTCACATTTAATTTAAATAAAAAATAAGAAAAATTTGGTTCAAAAGATGATGATATAATTCTAGGATAAACACATAATCTTTAGCCTAAACACATCAAATTTTTAAAGAACAACTGCAATGAAATCAATATCATGTAATTAATACGAAATTACTAATAGATTTATTTTCTTAAGAAATCAAAATCTTAGGAGCTTCACTGGAAAAGTTTCGTAAAAAATTAAAAGTTTTGCTCTTAAAAAAAATTTCTTAGGAAATCAAAATCTTTCACAGCTTACTTAAAAAAAATATTACATCAGTTGATCTTGGATCAAGCCAAAATGTATGTTTATGCAAATGCATGCTCAAAAATATTTCTGCTAAAAAAGTTTGAAAACACTATTAGATTTTTTAAGTAAAAAAAACATGTCCATATTCTCTATGAAATAAACAGAAAAGCTTAATCAAGTGAATTAGATTTTTTACTATACCGTGTATGTTGTTCTCCTTCAACATAAGTTTTCCATTTCAACTGAAATGTGTTGTGATGCTTTTCGAGTAGTAAAAATTTAATTCCATCTAAAACTATCACTAGCTGATTTTCTACAGTTGATAACTTGTAAAAATGAATATCTTGTGCAAATGGAGGTATCCTGAAAAACAATCTTTAGTCATTATTAAAATTAACAAAATATCTTTTAAAATTATATTTCACTAGTGCGATATCAATAAATTTAAATTAAAACTTATATTTGTTTTAAACTGTAACTAATAAGATAAAAAACCACTCTCACATCTTGAAAGAAAAATTTACATTAATAATTGTTATTATTAGGCATCATGAATTCAAATAAAAAAATACCTTACAATGCTAATATAAAGTTGAAGCATTTATTTTTATTAAAATTAGATATTTTTACAGGGTGCAGCAAAAAAAAAACTAGACAATAAATTTTTAATACAACTTTATTAAAAATAAATAACTTAACAAAATATAGCAAATAATAACAAGAGAAGACTTCACTAATAAATGAATTCGATTGGTTTCAACCCAGCACAGATCTCTCCCGGCACAGACTTGTGGCCCACTGCAAAAATTTCACTGAGCATTTGCGATTCTGAATCACTGCAAAAATCAGCCACTTCGAAACCAATTAGATTTATTTATTAATAAAAGCCCACTCTTATTATTATTTGTTACATTTTGTTAATTTTATTATATTAATAAAGCTATATTAAAATTTGTTTGTCCTGGTTTTTTTGCTGCATGCTATAATAAGTTTATTGTCTGACAATTTCAAATTTATTTATTAAAAATAAGGACACCATATAAAATAGCGCTTACTTCCCTCGCATTATTTTCCACAAATGTTAAGATTTTTGAAGTAAATTTTATAATACACATCTTGGTTATTATCACTCACCAATAATATAAGTCATAAAAATTTAACATCCTTGTACTAGTACTTCCAAAAAATTTTAATGCTCTTAAATGTGATTTTTGATGAATATGAACAATAAATGCCTTATCATGTCATTTTTAAATATTTTGATTGCAAAATAAATTAATGTTTTGTTGAAATCTAAAATTTTTTTGATTACAAATTTAAAAAAAAATTTATAAAAAATTAAAATTTATTAGCTTTTTCTGGAGATAATTGTTGTTAGTCCACTGATATCATATTAGTAGTAATAACAAGATGTAGAAAGTATATGTTTCTGTTAACTGTAGTAAGATATTAATAAAAATATTCTTTTGGAGGAATCCTCTATAAATTTACGCATTAGTTGATTATCAGCATGAGCAACAATAAGTGAGAAACCATTAATCATGATTAAAACCTTAATTTTTGATAATTTTAAAATTCTTATTAAAGTCACGCAATTAAGATTGTTAAAAGTACAATATTTATACCCAAAATTGTTTGTACAATCCTTCTAACCGTACAACTACACAAATATTAAAAAAAATCCTCTGTGGAGCATTATTTGAACATGACAAAATTGAGTAACATTATAAAAACCAGTTTGTTCAGCATTAAAGCAATTATATACTACATCAAGTCTAGTTTCAAGTAAATAATTGAAGTAAAAAGAAATAAACATAAAATCTTTTTATAATCATAAATATGATTGATATTTATGATTATCATAATAATTATTATCTCAATCATAAATATGATTAAGAATTGAGAACTCAATAGAAACCACCATTTCTTTTAAGTTGGCAGTGTGCTTACAAAATGACTTGGATATCTTTTTAATTTATATAATTCTTCAAACCCATGCCATTTAATGAGAGAATTAAGTATAAAAGAGAATTTTCAGTGACTTGCCCAGATAGTTAGCACTAATGTATTTAATGTGTAAGTTTCTTATTGGCTGTCTACTGATTAGATGCATTTCACTTAATATCAGCTGTTATTAAACCCTCTCTTTTTCTGTTAAACTAAGGAAATGAATATAACTGAATTTTTTTTAAAAATTTCAATAGTATTTTAACTATCTGCATTAACCCTTCTAATTCTAAGTCATAGGAAAGTAATACTTTACTTGAATAAAGTAAAACTTTACTTGAAACGAATATTGAAACACATACTTAAAAATATTCTTGAGAGTCAGCTTAGTAGACACTTTAAGGGCAGTATCACATGCTTCTCTAGTTGATATCATCCATAAATTACCTATTGGAATATTTGCCACTCAATTAGATATTTTAACTTTTTAATCAATAAACACATTGTACAATATAAAAACATACAATTGTTTTAAAAAATGGGAGAAAGAAATCATCCTTCTTAATTTTAGAATTTATTATAAAAAAGCAAATAATAGAAATTATGTTGCATAAAAAAATTAAATATAGGGCCAATGCATTGATTCTTTCATCATAATAACTAATTAGTCATAAAAATATGCAAAATGAGATAGGCATCATTTGCATTCTTATTTGAATAATTGCCAAGATCCAAGCATCAGCAGTACGGTTAATTTTGGGAGGGTTTTATCACTGAAACTATACAGGGTGTAAAAGAAGTTAGAAAATGGTTAAATAGTTCAAGAAATATACATGGGATTGAAAAAGTAATTACTAGACTGGATCTTACATCCCCGCCCCTCCTGGGGTGGGGTGGGACACCTTTGAAATCTTAAATAAGAATATCTATCTTTTATTGCAGATTTGGATTCTCCAGAAAAAATAACTTCATTTGACTTTTAGGTATATGTATTTTGTTTCACAGACAGTGCTGTAACAGAGAAAAATTAAATAGGGTACAAGCTGTTTAAAATTATGAGCTTTGTGACCCATCAGATTAAGAACATAAAAATAGACAGGTTTAAAATGTTTTTAATGATTTTTGGTAAAAAATTTTTAAAAAAGTATCAAAAAAATTTTTTTTCAATCAGATCAATTTCAAGATACTACCACCATTTCAAACAGTTTGTAGCCTATTTTAATTTCTTAGGTTACAGCACCCTGGGTAAAGCATAATGCATAAATTTACACTCCAAATCAGGTTACTTTTTTCTGGAGAATCCAAATTTGTAGTAAAGAATAAGGATTCTTATTAAATATTTCAAAGTGGCCTATTGCTCGCTCCCATTGCCTATTGCCAGTGGGAGGTAAAGATTGAGTTGGCATCATTGAATAGCTTTAAAAATATATATAATGTGATTATTTTCCTTTTTGATCTGATGTATATTTCTCAAGATATTTGACCATTTTCAAATTTTTTTACACACTGAATATCCCCTAGCATACCAAATTTGATTTTTTTCAACCAATCATCATTTTCTGAAAAAAGAAAAACTTATTACTTACACTTAAAAACTATTATTGCGATTTCATCTTTTCAGACTTGACACCTATTGTTAGACTAAATTAAGCTGAATTATATTAAGGTGCTTCTTGTCCATGTAAAGCACTTTTATCTTAAAATGGAAAAAAAAATTGAAGAAAAGGTTGGGGAAGACGAAAATTGGGAAGATGCTCAGTCTTAGGTAAGGTACTATTTTCCTCATTTATAAAGTAAGAAATGAAAAACTACAAAGAATTCATTGTTACAAAATGACATTAAATTTTAGTAAATATAACTACGAAATATATATAAATTAAATATATATAACTTATAATATTATATGTGTTAAAATAGTATCCCTTGATGAAAATTTTTAATTAAATATGTTTTAAAATATAACCATTTTCTACTAATTTAAATCATTTAATTTATTCATTTTTCTAATAATTTTTTTCATTTTATTCATTTAAGTTAGTTATTTCATTTAATTTAAATGTAAGAATCGTTTCAAATTCAATTAATTACATTACAAATGTATAAAAAGTTTAATTAAGTATAAAAATAATCTGAAGGAAATAAAAAAAATAAAACTGTAAAGTGCTTTTTTTTTACTCTAAAAGTAGGTAAATTGATGAAGGAAAAAAAAAAGAAATATGATAATGGCTAGTCCTGAAATAATAATCCTCTTTGTGCTTTTGCCCATTTATTTGTATATTGCACAAAATATGAGTCTTGCCTCAGTAAGCATTGGTAGCATATTTTCGTTTGGACTTAAGACATTAACTATTTTTTGGTTAAATATATGCAAAGAATGATGAAAATCACAATGTGATCCACGAATCCACATTGTTCAAGTAAACAAACAAGCCTGCATCAGTTTGTAACCGACTGAAAAAAAATAATGATCCATTTGTAACCAATCGTTGAAAAAACCCTGTAAAAACTTTTTTAAAACAGCAGGATACACTATCAATTTCACCTGTTGTGAGTCAGAGACTCCTGCATCTGAAACAATAGACATATCGATAGTTGAAGTTGATATCGTATTCTGCTCAGATGTCATTCGAAATCTCTTGTGACATAATCACAGGAAAGGAAAAGAAGAAGTTAAAAGATTCTGGTGACTCCTTTATGTTCAATGTGCTGGTCAAATAGGAGTGTGAAAATAGGAGGGCTAAGACTGAAGAGTGGTAAAAAAGCTCAGCCAGCTGGTATTTCGACAAGAGGGGACGAAATGTTACATGGGGAAATATAATTTGCATAGAAAAAAAAAACATTCTGCTTGCTTTTTGCAAACTCAAAAATCGGATATTTTTGAGTTTGATCGTCGTTTGGGGTAAAATATGGGAGATATTCGGATTGATTCCGAGAAGCGGGAGAAGAACACCAAATCTGGGAGCCTCCTGCAAAATGAGGGAGAATTGACATGCATGTAAAGAGCTTATTGAAAACGATTTAATTTTTATTAACACAAAATAATGATTACCATTTCCATTTTCAGAACAATATAAAACAATATGACTTTCATTCTGAGAATTCCATGTAAAGGTTTCAGTTACTGGACTTGTGCAATGAGGAAGATGTAAAAGATTTCCAATAATCTGTCCAGTAGCTCCAGAAACAAAAGCCAAGTGAGCTTTTTCATTTTCTCCTTCCATGTAGTAAGATAGTATAATATCTAATATTCCATCATCATCACAATCAGGAACAATGGCAGGACCATAAATAGAATGAGGACTCAATATATCACTATGATTATGAAGATACCAGAGAGTAGCACCTGTTGATAAAATAATGCAAACAAATCCATTATTCTGGTACATTCTCCAGGTAACAATATTATGTCTAAAAATAATTTTAAAGAAAATTAGACAAAATAAATAATTTTTGTTTATCTGTGACAGCCCTGTATAAAAGTCCTTAATGTAACTTACAAAACAAGGTAGAGATTCAAGTAGAATGGACACTGGTAACAAAATAATATGAAAAATACATATTCTAATGAAATTAAGAGAAATGGTCTTTAGAGTGGTTATCATGGAATTTAACTAAAATGTGTCCTATGAAATTGAATGTGTCCTATGAATTGACTCAGAATGTTTTTAAATTGATATTTACAACTTAAACTTCAATGGAGTGCTGTGAATGGAACCCAGTTAGTTCCCTTGATTTATACAGTTTACTATCTTATCAACTATTTTATAAAATCATTAAATTAAAGAGTAAGAAAAAATTTCCATAAAAATATTTAGTGATACTGAAAAACCATGGTTTCAAATGAGAAGAAAATGAATAAAAGATAAGCACATCCTTCTCTTAAAAAAACATACTCATCATCTTAAATTAAATAATAATATACATTTGTAATGTAACTGATAAGCTTTGTGCCTCTTTTGATATGAAGCTCTTGGAATCAATCAATCAGTGGCCCAAAGAATTTTAAACAAAAAAGAATGCTAAAATGTAATAAAATTGTTCTAAAATCAACTGTTCAATAAAAACTTTGAAATAAACAAAATTTGATTTTGTTTCAGTTAGTATTAATAACTACAGTTCTAAATTCAAATCTTGTTATGGTGAAATATAAAATAAGTTACTGCTTGTGGAAAAAAATTCAGTTTTTTATAAAAACAATTTCCAATATCATATTAAATTATTTACTGTCATTCTGTACTCAATGGTATTTAGAACTAAGAAGTTTACAAATTAACTGCAAATTACAGTATTAAATGTGAAATTTTTACCGATTTCAAACACACTTTTTTATGTCTCAAAAAATTCATAATTAAATTGCGATTTAATAATTTAAAAAATACTTGAATAAAAAAATTAATACTTATATGAATTTGAAAATAAAAAATGAGATTAACAATTTTATAACATAAACATAATAGAGTTTGACTTTTATTAAACAAAAAAAAGGGTAAATTTTCTTCTATTTTTAAAAAAAGTTGTTTTTAAAGACAAGATAAAATATTGAAAAGACAAAATATAGTAGAATATTTAACTAAACTTACAAACTTTATTATTACAGTTTATATAACTATAGAATAATACTTATTTAAGAAATAAAATGTTACATAAAAAAAACTATCTCACATAATTTATAGAACAATAAAAGAGAATTGCTTTAATTCATTTAACAAGTAGCTCACTAAACCAATTGTGTTACCTTTTTCAACATCCACAGCTGCAAATAAACCATTATTTCCAATAATTAGGCATTCAGGTATACCATCTGAATTTAAATCCAAAACATTACAAATTGAAGAAAAAAGAGCAGAATGAAAATGAAGTTTCCAACGTTCTTTGCCATTATTTTCTTGAATAGCAATTAAACTTGGCTCACCATTATTACATCCGAGAATAATAAGTGATGTTTTGGATACATTATTTTTCACAAATTCTAAAGGGGTGGTAAAGGCTATAAAATAAGTAAACAAATTTTAATCATTCATGTCATATAACTATATATATATATGCACATTTTCAATTTATTTTAAGGAAAGTTATAATACAATAATTGATTTAAGAAATTTTAAAATGCAACTCATAGTCTTTCAAAAACATTTAATAAAGAAAAATATGATTATTTCAATGTTCCATTGCGACAGAATCACTTCAAAATACATAAGGGTGGTTTTTAAATTTAAAGAAATTTTTTTTAATTTAAATTCGATTAAAAGTAAAATTGATCATTGTTGGTGATTAACATTGATTCTTGCACAGTCAGCACCAAGATTAAATTAAAATTAATTAAGTCATCACAAAACTAAGAAATACATTAACAAGTAACAGGCCAAACATTTTACACAAATTAATTTTTTTACTACCATGAGAAAACTATTAAGCTACTTTTTACTAGGCTACTTTTACCTTTGTTGTGGTTACTTTATTAAGATTTTATTATTAAATTTTATTAGTTATAAACATTTGACCTATGCATCAGGAACATTGATAACACAAATTTTTTGATGTCACAAAAAATTCCAAATACTGACATAAAAACAATAATCAGTTTTCATTGAATACATTTCCCAATGACCCTTAATTTCAAAAAAATAGTTTCGGTCACTGAAAATATTTTTTTCAAAGTTTTTAAAAAATCTGAAATGCTTATTAAAGTATAAGTTATAATGACTTATCTTGATTAAAAAAAAGTTCCCTGAATTATCTATTCCTAAAGTAGATTTGTAATTGATATTTGTGCACCGATAAAAATATACACTTATAAAATTTAAAGTAACTCGCAAATTTAATGAATCCAAAAGAAAGTAACACTTATGAGGACAGTACCGTCTTTACGCATGGGCACACCCATGCAGTGCCCAAGGGCCCCAGGCACTCAGGGGGCCCTTGAGAATCTTACTTTTTATAAATTACATTAAGAAAAATTAAGACTTAACAAAATTACCTTATACATTTTTTTTAAATAAATATACACTGGTTATCATAAATTAAGGAAAATTCACAAAAATCGCGATAACTCAAGAAATTACACATGGAATTTTATGAAACTTACCCACAATATACAACACATAGTAAGGTATTAAACAACATAAAAAGAAATTATCAGACATTAATAGTAGTATAGAAATTAGCACATGTATAAAATAAACAAATTGGAAGTATCGGTTTGCAATAGAAAAAGTACCTTTAATATGGAATATGATTGCCTCTAGAAGCAATACAGCACAAACAGCGATGTGTGATGCTTTCAATTATGCGGTCTATCAGTTCAATAGGAAGTGAGAGCCATTGCTCTTGTAAAGCAGTTGCAAGCGTGGCAAGGGTCTGAGGGGGCGGATTGATGGCAGATACACGCCTCCCTAGAGCATCCCAAACGTGCTCGATAGGATTCAAGTCCGGGGATCGAGCTGGCCACTCCATGCGAGTAATTGTTTCCTGTTGAAGATAATCATCAACAATGCGAGCTCTGTGTGGTCTTGCATTATCGTCCTGTAACAGGAAGCAATCACCAATTGCCCCGGCATATGGGCGCACATAAGCATCAAGGATGTTGTCTCGATAAACCTGAGCATTCACGGTTCCCCTTGGAAAGACATGGAGGTATGTGCGCCCTCCTAAGGATATGCCTCCCCAAACACAGACACTGCCTCTTCCGTATGCATCTCTTTCACGGATGTTTGATGGATGATAACGGGTCCCAGGTTCTCTCCATATCAAATAACGTCTACTGTCACTTTCTAGACTAAACCTGGACTCATCCGTAAAGAGAACAGGCCTCCATTGATCTGACGTCCAGTGGACATGTTGTCGGGCCCACTGCAAACGGTCTCTCCTATGGCGTGATGTGAGCGGCACGCAAATGGCTGGTCGTCTCGCATACAGACCACCTTCGTGGAGCCTTCTGCGCACAGTTGACGTTGACACCAACCTTCCGGTGGCTGCAGCAAGAGAGGATCTAAGATGTGTCGGAGTAGCGGTTCTATTCCTGCGTGCACTTAATGTCAAATATCGGTCATCGGCACTGGTCGTAACAGTTGGCCGTCCTTGACTGAACCTCCTAGATGCCGAATCTGTGGTTTGAAATTGCCTCCAAAGTCTATGAACCACAGATGGACTCACATTTAGCCATCTGGCCACTTCTGATTGACTCTGCCCTGCCTCTAGTCTCCCGATGGCTCTCCATCGTAGTTCTTCAGGCAAATGATGCCTAGAGGTCATTATTACGAATTGGCTATCTCAGATTTTCAATGTCGCAATCACAGTAAAATTTGTGTGCTTTCTCTCAAACTTGGACTTTTATGCTCCAGGCAGATGACGTAAGCCGAGTGCAGCGCCACTAATTTGCATATTGCAATTTTACTCAGCTACTCTTAGTGGACAACATATGCAAATTTTGCACGGTTTGGCTTACTTTTGAAAGAGTTATCGCTATTTTTGTGATTTTTCCTTAATTTATGATAACCAGTGTATTATATTGTATAAAGTGTGTATTTTTCTTTCTTTCTACAAATAGTAATTGATAATCTCGCAAACAACAATAATCTGAGTAGTTTATCAGCAGGGAAACTTAAAAAGAAAACCGTAATTTTTTTTCTACGTTCCAATGAAATTTTTATGTGTATTCAGTTTTTTTTGGGGTCTACTAAAAACAAATTTAAATCAAAATGCATTTAAATTTGTTTAAAATATTGCATACGTTAAAAATGCTTCATTTTATGTGTGTGAAGTTTTTTAGTTCGATTTTAAGCAGTATGACATGTTATAAGTGCCCAAAACATTTCTTTGCCCGGGGGCCCTGCATGCTATTAAGACGGCCCTGGGACTTGGTATAAACAATAATCTTGCAATGCATAGTGATAGGGAAGGATCAGAAATATTATAAGAAGTAATAGCATCAGAGGATATATTAGAAGAGAAGTACAATGAAACAGAGTTTCAACGGATTGTAAAACCAAATGAAAAAATAAAGATACTGAACTTGTTTGAAATCAGGGCCGGATTTAAGCTTGGCGGGGCCCTAAGCTACTGAAAATTATGGGGCCCTTATAAGTTCAACTTGATTTCTACACACTTAACTGTCTTGTTTTTCACTGCTGAGTATTAACATTATGTTATAAAAAAATCGTAGAACCATTCTCTTATTGCAAATATTTTTTGAACGAGGAAAAATGAGTCACAACAGAAACACATTTTAAGATCATCATAAGCACAGAATAAAAATTTGGTGTGTTGGAAGGGCCATTTTATAATTAACAGTTGTTTTTTTTTCATTCTTGAAATTCTGAATATATACTATTTGCAATTTTAAATGATTTTTTTGCAAATTTTTTTCCTCAACTTCTTTTTTTTTTTTACTTTACATTTTGCTTTGCTGCCCAAAATCTATAAGACTTAAAAACATGAAACTATGGAGGTGTGTTGAAAATATGCAAGGAGTTTAGAAAGAATACAAGAAAATACAATTTGATTATTAGTTTTATTTCTTTAAAAACGCCGTTGAACAACCGACTTAATTTTTAGTTCATAACTACCAATCTTTAACTCCGTAGCCTTGTAATTTTGAACCCAATTCAGAAGACAAAGGAACTCCTGGATCAGGAATTCATTTATGAGAACTTTGTGACCCAAACAGATTTAACTTGCACCAGTCTCCATTTTATACACGGGTATTCTTCGGCCAGCTAGATTAAAACTCCTATTCTCACGAACACGAGCCCCAACGCCCTACCTACCAGGCTATCCCTTCCAAATTATTAGTTTATTTTATGCCATTCATTGAATAGTCGACCCAATTTCGAGTTCATGACTACTAATGTTCAACTCCGTAGTCTTGTAACTCTGAACCCAATCCAGTAGACAAGGGAACTCCAGGATCAAGCCTTGGAAGAAATTTTTGCCTTCATGGAGGACGTTTTGCTGGAACTAACTCCACATTTGAGTTATATTGAGAGGAGAACAACGAAAGCCTCCCACAATTAGTCTAACAGCAAGGGGACTCTATCCTATGATCTGTCTGTCACCAAGGATATTCTACGTCAGCACTGTGGTCAGTGCGAGCCAGGTCTGGAATTCATATCGACCAGCCATCACTGGGATTTGAACCCGGTTCACCGCATTCGGAGGCGAATCCTTTGCTGAAATGACCTCACATCTTCACTGAGTAATAACTCTGTGGAAGGCGCCAATTTTCCAACTTTATTGATTGGCCTGAATTTAGTCATCTTCAAAATGTAAATGGTAATTCAATCGCAATTTTTGTAAAAAAAAAAAAAAGAAGGTAAACCTTTCTTCCTCTTAATCTGCAACGATTAATGAGAGGCAACCACGAGGGTTGGTGAGCAAAGTGAACAAGGATCGGAGCCTTCTAGTTATTCAAATAATTGCTAAATTATTAGCAATTATATGAGTTATTTATAGTTTTTTAACAAGCATACTTTTAAAAAAATGAGAAAGACATTTTTCAGTATTAAGAAATAAAAGTTTAAGACTGTCACCTGCTGGATTAGAACCCACGATCTCTAGGTTCTGCGTTAGATTTCATAATCATCAGCCCCAAATATACACACCTGCCTTGCGGGTTTTATTTATTTATTTATTTTTTTAAATTTAATAAATTAAGAGTCATTTGAATGTTCTTTATGTTAAACTATTAGACACACGTTTTTTCCCCCTTAAATTTTGCAAGAAAAAAAAATGAGATGTCAAAATATAAGACCTTCTGAAATTTTGTGAAAAACACATCTGTTTGCATGCTGCAATACAGTATCTTTTATGAAATGTGATCCATGGTACTGACCGCACTGAGAAAAAAATAATTAATTTTTCTCCATGCATTATTTTGTGTTATACTACTTTCGCCTTAACTATTTATACATAAAATACTAAAAATGGACCTTAGCATTGAATGTCAAATCCAGTTTTGGAAACAAAGAGATTTTCTTACACTTTGACTTCTACACTTATTCTAAACATTAATATTGCAGATAAATGATTTTTATAAAACAAAGCAATTAAATTAAGTATAACAAATTCATTTAATTTTCTTCTCTATATCTAAATAAATATTTCAATACTATGAATTTAGAAATATTAAGTATTTAGTAATTAATGCCTTACATTTTATTTACATAAAAAGTGTTATTTTTAGAAAAAAGTTTTATTAATATATTCCTGATTTTGGAACAATTCTCAATCAGGAAATTTTCTCTTTTTCTAATGTATTAGATAAGAATAAATTATAATCCTCTAGCGATGGTGTACTTGTAAAAAATAAGCCATGTTGACTAACGAAGCAATATAGAGAAAAAGCAATTAATCGCTACAAGGATAAAAATCAGTGCACCAGCAACCCCTCCCCCACCCTAGCTAGCTGTTAAATACCTCCTTACCCTCATTTATAATCGAAGCAAATTTTTCAATTTTATGAAATATACAAATACTATTTTTTTTATTTTTTTATTCTTCTTCTAAGCCCTACACCCTGGAGCAGCTGAGAGCGGTAATATTAATACTGTTAGTAGGAAAAAAATCATTTTGCAAGCTGAAATTCTTTAATTGATGTCCTTAATTGAACTTCTTTAATTGAAATTCTTTAATTGATTTCGTCATTACTTTCGCTTTCTTTTTAATTGTTTTAAGTGCATTTGTTACATTTTTGTGCAGGAATAAAGATTATCATTTATGTAAATTTTTGGCTCTCATTTTTAAGAATTTATTAAAGAGTCTAATAAATATCAGAGAGAATAAATGTGACGGGTTAGATGTATCAGCTCAGCTCTTGATGGTGTACAGTGGCTAGGATGTGAAAGAGCAATAGCGCAGGGCATCCAGTGAAACAAACACACTAAAGCTTTATATCAATTAGCTTTAGATATTTACAATTATATAATAATTATTTTTATTTTAGAATAAATTGCTTTAAAAGACAAATATCTGTTAATGTTTAATATTTAATCAATAAAAAAGCATAACCCATATGGAGCTGTAATGAATTGCCCCTGATAAATTTTGTGACAGAAGAAAAAATTAAAGCTTTCTAGATTTTTGGATTTCAGAAACACCTTCTAGTTTTACTATTTAAACTAATTGGTTTTGATGTCTTTCTCCCCGCCTGTCAATTTATGACCAGAAATCAATTTATGACCGGTGGATATTCCTAATTTCCGAAGTAAGACAAAATAGCCCAAGGCAATTTAAAGAAGCTAAAAAGAATTTCCCACAGCGTAAAGTGAATCGGCTATTTGACAACTCTGCGGGTGGTAGCTACGAAAGCAAAGATATTTACTTTACTCGAAAGAGCGTTTTATTGCTCTTTTGGTTTGAAAATTGAAGACAATTATTTTATATTTTTAAACACTTCGATTAAATTTTGAGAAGAATCCGCCAAAGAAAAAAGAAAATAAATGCATTTTGGAGTTCCAGCTCACAATGAAACTTTAAAAAAGAAGAAGAAAAAAGTGGGATGTGGGGGCCCTTGCCATCTCGGGGCCCCAAGCTACAGCTTATTTAGCTTATACGTAAATCCGGCCTTGATTGAAATAAATAAATACAGGCTACGTAATTCTGTTTTTCTTTTTGCTACAAAGTAATTTAAGATATAAATAGAATGCTTCAAAATGAACTTACACATATTATGAAATATTCTTTTCCATTTATAGGTCAAGCGATAGGTTCTGGCCAAATCTTTTGCAGGAGTACATGGTATGAAATAAACAAATATAATGACAAATAGAACACACATAATTAATGAGGTAATAAATGCTAATTTCCTCAAAGGTGACATAGGAAGCGATTTTATATTCACTTTAACGACTTGAGATTGAATAGTAGTTTTTGTAAGTACAGCAGAAGCATCAAATGAGCTTTTAAAAACCAGTTTGGAACATTTATCTTCTTTACTAGGACCAGATTCATCTTCATCACTTTGATTTTGAGAAAGTGGCATATAATGCCTTGGAGTAGCATTCAACTTCATGATTGTTCTGATAAAACTTTAAGCCTGAAAATCAAATAAAATATAGATATGTAAACTATGCTAGGTATTTGAACCTTTAAAAAGTTTATAAATATAATAACTGGATGATTTACACTTAAAAGAAAAGAAAAAAACATTAAGAAAAAAGTACCAATTTAACCACTGTTGCAATACTCTAAAGCAGGAGTTACCAAACTTTTTCGATCATCGACCCCTACATAATTTTTCGAAATCTCTATTGACCCCCATAAAAGTAATTTCTTGTTAATTCATATAAAACTCTAATAGATACTGTGTTTGTACATTTATTTCATGATTTTGAATATTTATTAAAGTGATAGTACATAGTGTAACAATAGTTTTATGAAAAATATATTAATGTCGAAATATAAATACCTTAATATTTATGAAATAATAAGTAATTATAAGTAAGTAGAAATAATAAGTAAAGTAACTACGGATTTATTGCTTCTTAATCAATGACATGGGTGTTCCTGGTGTTTTTTTTCCTGCAAGGTTCGTTATATTGGGTTCAAATTTGGTCAATTTTAATCTTAAATCCCCTCGAAACTCCACATTTAATTTATTTCTGTTCTTAGTTAAGATTGAATTTACATGACTGAAACCGGCTTCAACCATATAGGAACTTGGAAATGCTATCATAAATCGCTGAGCTATTTCGTAAAGTCATATTTTTGCATTATATTTATATTTGTCCAAAATTTGCTTATTGTTAAATTTTTAAAAAGCGTCTTTGCTTCAAATCCCCATAATAATTCAGCAATTTCATCTTGCAGGATGATGTCCACGTTTTCAATTTGAGCAGAAAATGGCACAATAATCCAATCAAGGATGTCAATGTTTTCCAAATCAACAAAACGCAGTTTAAAATCGTGGCTCAATTTTTGAAGATTACCTGTATATATTTCCAAGCCTTCTTCTATCATTTCTAATTGTCACATATCTGAAAAATACTGAAAATCCTTCCACCAATCGACCCTTCCGGTTCAGATCGACCCCCTGGTTTAGATCAATACCCGCTTATGTTAAATAGACCCCTGGGGGTCTATACAGACCACTTTGGCGACCTCTGCTCTAAAGTAACTTATAAAAATAGTTCATGACTAAGTGCAATAAATATATGTTACATGAATTTTATAAACTCACAATAATAAATTAGCTAACAGTTAATATTGTGTACAAAAAGCTTGTTAATAAGATGTATACTAACCTAGTACCAAAAGTAATGTCATATAAAAAAACTTTAATTAAAGCAGATTTACATTAGGTAAGTTCTTAAACCTTCCGTAATAAACGATATTAAAATGTTATTCACGAACACAAATTTCTCATCATTGTACAAATGATGAAAGACAAACTTATTTCAAATGATCATTTAGTAATCATATAAACACAATATGTTTAGACCATATAAAAGGGAATCGGACATCAAATGATGCAGTTGGGATTTAAAAATAACATATCTAACATTACAATACAAGCCAATTAATTTACATTAAGAATTCATCGAGTAAGTTTTAAAAAATTTTTTACAAAAGCAAAAAAATAAATAAATAAATAAGCATTTTATGTGATACATACCTCTAATACAAAGAGTAACTAACTTGTTTTTTGTTGATTAGAGGGTAAGACTGTACCAATATTTTAGAGAACATAGTTGATGCAGTTTTAATGATTGACAGATGTGATCAGCTGTTTTCTTTCCACTTGGTTTGTTTTTACTCTACCATTTACCCAAGGACATATTCAAAAAAACAATACGAGTTATCCGATCTTCAAAACGCTTAATGTTAAAAGGCTGTCAGTTTTAAAAAGTAATTAAATCCAAACGATTGCATAAAAACAAATTAAATTTCGAATTATGAGGATATGATTATTTTGTATTTAGATCCTGGAAATATTTTTTTTTTTTTAGAATTTAAGAGTTTGTTGCCTTAGTTATATTTTGCTTATAACTCGCATAAAAGAAATTTAAAAGGTTATTCCCTTTGCATCAACCTCTCGCATCCCCGCATGAAACAACATGTGATGGGCGGAGCTTCTTAAAGCCCCTCCTTCAATGCGCTTCATACAAGGGCCATTCTCACTGAGTCGGATTCACGCACATCCCATTAGCTCAGCGAAAAATTGAGAACTTGATTAGTGAGCTTTTCGCTGCAAAATATTTTTACCAATCAGTTTCTCATCCTCCTGTGATAAGGATCGGAAATGCGTGAACTGTATTTAATGAAATCGGCCCCTGGCAAACTGAACTCTAACATTGGAGCTCTAAACATGCAACCATCCAGCGAGCTCGGGATAAAAAAAAAAAAGATCTTATTATGACGTCATGTTTCTGTACTTACGCCACTAAGGGAAAACCTGTAAGCACTCGATTTCGAACGGATTTTGCTAACGAAGTGCAATCTTAATTTTCTCTCCAAACTATGAGATGTCTTTCTACTAGGAATTTGGACCTGAAAGCATTTCGAGCAGTCGAATAGAATGCCTTTAACTTAGGGATTGAATTAGATTTCTAGATTCAGGGAAACTTTTTGAGCATTTTTCCATTTTTTTTATGAATATATTTCGCAGGATATAATTTTTTTCCACACAAATAATTTATTTAATTAAGAATTCGAAGATATAAATTAGTTTCGTGTGCAGCTTATTTCGAAACAAAACGGGAGATTTTATAGATCTAGATCCAAATTTCTGTGTAATTTTAGGCACATATCTGTACCATAATTTGTGCAGCATTTTCATTACATTTTATAATAAATTGATAAGATTATTGTAATAACTACATCGTAAATAATATGAATAAGATTTACTATAATTTGTATACGCACTTATTATTTACTATACAATTTTCTATAAGAAAAAAATTACAAAAGATATGGAAAAAAATAATAAAACAGAATATATTTCAATGGATGGTGTTTTCTACACTAGGGAACGCTGCAAGCTCGGGACTGGCTAAATTTCCGGGTTACTGTTTCAGTTGTATTTTAAAGCCATTTGGCATCATTGTGTTTTGAGATTCTTGCAAACAATATATTTGATTACTTATTACTTGTGTTTACAATGCTAGCAATACTTGTGTTTACAATACCAAAAGTGTTAACACTAACGTAAGATGGTGCACAGCTTGCAACACGAACAAACAGTAATAAACAAATGGAAAGACGCCAAATCAAGACTGCCAAAAAAGCGAGTTATTCAAAATCTAGCAACCATGTCACCTTTTTTAATAATAAATAACAAAATAACTAGAACAAATTTTCACTCCAAACTCCCCAGAATTACATAATAACATTAATATCTTATGAAATACGGCAGATTTGAGCTCAGAAATTATCTAATTTATTTCTTTTATTGAAAACAAAATTATCCGTTTGAAAACATCAGAATAACATGTAGTAAGCAGCTGCAAACTTTTTAACCGGGACTAGAGTAGGTGCCGAGCTCGAAATTGTTATTGTTTGCATTTCTGTTGAAAACACCATCCATACAATTGTATCTAAAATTGTTTTAAAGTTGCTAATAACTTTTGATGCATAATTAAGAAACCTTTTTTTTAAGTTTTGTTATTTTCTTATTATTTTAATATTCCATGACAAAAATATTTTTTTACTCTCATATTGATACAGAAATATACTCGATAATTGGTTTTTAAGAAAACTATGAACTATTTTCAAAATATAATTTGTTAAGATTAACATTAAAAATTTTTAAAATAATATTTTTAAAAAGCTCTTGTTAAGAATTGCATTAAAAAATGTTTAAATAAGAGCTACGCTTTATTTATCTCTTATTCTGTTTAACATTTGAAATTTGCAAAACTCATATTTTTAGTAAATTGATAAATTGCAAATTGCGTGGGTGAAAAAAAATAAGCATAATATTTTTCCACTATTTGATATTTGAAGGCTTTTCCGTCAGTGATACTGTATATTCGGCTATCCACCGCCTGCCGACGCACCTGGTAGCCACTCAAGACGCAGGATAATAGATTAAGTTCCAAATTCAATTTATTTGTTGTATCTTAATTAGTTGCGTTTTTCTTAATGTTTAAATTATAAAAATCAATTGAGCAGGTTTCCCCCTCCTTAGAATTCAGATTTATAGAGTCATTTTTCTTTTACGATCATTTCGATTGCATTGCATACCCAGAATTTGTGGGATCATTTTGAGCATTTTGAACAATTTCTTTACACTCACGGTGACTGTTTTTAAAGGTAAAGGAATTTCTCAATGATGAAGAGGCATGATGAAGAGGTTTATAAGAAATTATCAGTAAATAATATTTTCCAATATATTTGCTTAGTTAGATTTTTTTATTATTATCACCAACGTACAAGATTTTCATAATACTAGAAAGTCCCGCCACTTGCATACTTCACGCACCAAACCCCGTGTAGACATCAAAATATTTAATTTCTTTACTATGTTGATTTTGACATCAAGCAAAGTGCAAGTTTATAAAATGAAAAATGATCATTGAACTGAAAGAAAAATGCACGAAAAAAGCACTTTACAATTTCTGAAACAAACCTCATTTTAAGCTCATAAATAAAATTGAGTCTTTCAGTAATGCAATTTCAAGTCTGTCGTTGCATTTCTGTGTCCTGTAGACTAACTTGAATGGTATTTTTTCCTAGTTTAACTGTTCATATTCCTCAAATTATTCATTGAATGTTTAATTATTTTATTCAATTTGTGGACTCAGCACATTTTTATAAACCCTGTCAACGAAAGGAAAGCATCTGCGAAACCATTCTATCGACAAAGCAACCCTATTGACGAAGCGACACTGTCGACGAAATGATCCTGTCAAAGAAATGACATTAAGTGAAGATATGACCCTTCTGACAAAATGACCTAGCCACTGAAATCGCCTGTCTATGAAGTGATTGCCGCTGAAATGAACGCTAGTCATTTCAATCAGAGATAAAAAAAAATTTCTAAATATTTCAAAATGATTGGATAAAACTTCCATTTTTAAATATTGAGCCACCATACGATTATTTTATTCCCTTGATTATTTCACTTGTAAAATGTGGAAAACTTGTTACCCCTCCTCTAATAAACGAAAAACTCCCTTTCACTAACCGAAAACAAATGAAAAAATTGACAGAATCAGTAATCAGGAAAAAAAAAACATCAAAATTATTAGTTGAATTTAAACTCCAATATCTCAGTAACCAAAATCAAAATATTTAAAATAAAAATATGGAGATCCATTTCCCACATTTGAATTTACATTACGTTGTCAGATTTTTGAGTATTTTTTGGCGAAGATTCGACGAGTCAAGAGATGAGTGAGGTTACGAAAAAGTCAATGAGGATTTGCGGAGAATGTAAGCTCTTTCTTTATCTTTGCTTAATAGTTACAAAATTTATAGAAATTATTATACAGGAGCAATAAGTTATAGATAAATATAGTTTTTATTGTTGAATAGGAACAGGTTGGTTTAATTCACTCGATGGACGCACATTTTTAACCCTTTCATTTCTAGCGTCCTATTTATTTGGCATTCACGTTTTGCCCTGTGTGTTCGAGAGCCGTATTCAGCCAGCGTCGGCGTGAAACCTTTTAGTAGGCGCCTCTATCTGTTTTAAACTGCCATAGGCTTATATTCCGCTTACCTCTAGGCCAATATTGCATTTACCTTTAGGCCAATATTACAGCTTTAAGAGCAATACATTGAACAGTTTAACAATAATGAGGCATAAATTGCCTAAGTGAATGTAAAAATTCTTACTTAAATTTATCTCGCTGAACCAAACTAAACTCTATTGCATGGGATTTCTAATGTATATAAATAATATTGTGAAGGAATTTCCATTTTTTTTAAAAAATAATCTATAGTATCTTAGATATACTGATCGTATAATCTGAAATAGAAAAATTTTAATTCAAGATATTAATAAAAATTAAATTACACATTTATAATTTCAAATATTAATTTTACATAGAGAGAAATCTAGCAAACTAAATAAATCGAAAATACATGGATGCATAGATAAAGAATCTTCATCTATTTTCTCTGAAAATCAAATATAATTACACATCTTGTAAAATGTGCAATTATCTTTGATTTGATTGTGTAATTATATTTATATTTTAATTATATTTGATTCAATTGAGTGTAATTTCACCAAAGTAATATGAGAAGAAAGTTAACCAAATTTCCCCCAATGAAAGCAGTTAATGTATTTTAGTATAAAACATTTAAACGGCGTTAAAAAGAAAATTCTTTGTATAAAAGGAGATTAAAAAAATGAAAATGAAAAAGGCTTTAAAATTTCTAAACTAATTTATCCAGAGCTAAGAGCTATTCCTACTGCTTTCACACATCACTGTTTATGAAGAATAAGGACAAAAAACATGTTCCTCCTAAAGAAAACTAGCCAATCAGGGTCTTTTTCATCATCCAATGGCGATCCAAGGTGTGTGAATCACATGCAGTGGGAATGAGCCCCAAGAACTGCGGATTGGTTGCGAAGTACAGTTGTGTAGAAATTATTAACTGATTTTGACTAAACTACCGTTTTGATTACTTAAATAATGAATGAAACTAAACTAAATAAATTAATTACTACAGTGAGATATTTTCAACGAGATATTGTGCTCCGTGGCTAAACTCTTTGAAACTTCTATGCTATTGTAGAATTAAAGGTTTATGAGATAGCATATTCTAGATTAACCTTGAGTTCACAAATTTAAACTTTAAAATTATTATTACGCTTTCATTTAACAAATTATTTTCGTGTAAAAATTTACAAAAATCTTATCTTATTAGTTTGCAGACAAATGTACATTGCTTTTGGTTTCGCTTTCTTAGGAAAATAAATTACTATTCTTTAAAAAAACGAGCTTTTTTGACAAGTTAACTTTTTAAATATGTTACTTTTTCTAAACG